CGGCCTTAGTACTTCTGAGAAACAATCCTGAGTAGTTGGGTTAGGACCAGGAAATCCTGGTTGGGGATATGTTAATGAAGGATAGATTTTCTTAAGAAATTTTAGGAATCTGGATATTGTTTTATGAAACCAATACATGTAATTGAATACTCGCTATATGTCTTGTATATCATTACCTATAGTTCTTACAACAGCCCAGTGATTACATTTACACCAAATTACAGCATGTGGAGCCAGGCCTGGGGAATTTGAAATGCTCATGTTAGTAGGGCCTTATTAGAAAAGTGTTCATTATGACTGAAGAAAAATCTGAGCCCTGTCTTCGAGGCCTGGAAAGCTTCTCTGTCCAGGGACACCAGAGTCAGCTCATAAGGTACATCCAAGTCTGCGCCCAGAAAAAGCAAGGCAGTTTGCGATTCCGCAGATAACTTGTACCGTGCCACTATTTTCTCTTTGGGTCTAGTTTCTAGGATACCTGGAATTAATGAACATACCTGCATTTTCTACCTACTGATTCCCTCCGTCCAGGACACTGGAGGTAGGAATAGTGAATTGTTACCAGTCAGGATTGTTACGGAGAAAAATGAAGTTTGAACAAAACACTGAAAGGTATTGAGATTGAGTACAAAACATATTCACTCATTCAGAGGGATCCTGTTTTCGATTTTATTCTCACTCTGAGTTGTTTGTTTCCCAGGAAGTACCTAGATGCTTTTCTTTCTTCTTAAATGGCCTCTTACCAATTTGCCCTTAGACATCAGTGATTTATTTTAAGAGAGCAGCTAAAAATGCTTTAATTTACAAGAGTCCATGTTTTTACTGGGCCTCCTTTTGAAAAGGGAATTGTTAATGGATTGACTGATTTTCTGAACTTGTTTTTTAAACAGCATGAATGGAGATCAAAATAAAAGGAAAGGGTTACATAATGTGATACCTACAGATTTAAGATTTCCATGTGCCCTTCCAGAATTGTTTCAGTGTGACTACTGGTTATGTTAAAGGAAGAGGCACCGGCACTTTAGGAATGAGCTCAGGGCCCAGGATTTGACCTCAGAGGATTGAGTGTCAGAACCGATGCCAGTAACTATAGCCTCATGCTGCTGGCCAGGCTCTCCCTCGGCTCAAGGAGGCTGTGGCATCAAATACAGAAAGCGGAGAAGCAGCAAACCAAGGGGATTTTGTAAAATTTCAAACCAGAAAATCTTGAGGAGAAAATAGGTTTGGTCTGAGTCATGTGGAGAGTGGGGTTTGTAGATACACCCTTAATTAGAGTGAAGAGCCAAAGGAAAGCAGTACAGACATATTTTCCAACTCGTTAAGAGTTTAAAATTTGTATCTTGTTCATTTTTATTTTTTAAAGATTTTTAAAATTGATTTTTAGGGGGAGAGAAAGGGAGAGGAACACAGAGAGAGAAACAGAGATGTGAGAGTGGAACATCAATCGGCTGCCTTCTGCCTTCTGCACACTCCCCATGGGGGATCGAACCGCAACCTGGGCATGTGCCTGACTGAGAATCAAACTAGCAACCTTTTGGTGCATGGGACAACGTCCAACCAACTGAGCCACACCGGCCAGGGCATATCTTGTTTATTTTGAAAAGTTTTTAAAATATAGAGACCAGAGTGTAATTTCTACATTCTTGCTACCCAGAGTTGACTGACCATCATTAAATATTGACTCAATAAAAATCTTAATAGAAGAAAATGTCGCAGATAAAACCCTATTTGACTTTCAATCCCAACGCCATTATATTCTTCTCCTCCCCAAAGGCGAGTGTTCTCATGAATGTGGTGTTACCTTCCAAGTCCACTCTCTATAGTTATATAGAGAGTATATACATAAGTAAATGTTCTTGGGTATGGATATAGTCCTGCTTTAAAAATTATTTAAATGGTACCACGAATGGCAGCTATCTGTTTGTTATATGACAAGGATTGAGCTGAGTCCTGCTAACAGCCACATGTGTGAATTTGGAAGTAAATCCTTCAGCCCCTGTTGAATCTTGAGATGGGTAGCCCTGGCCAACAGGTTGCCTGCAAACTCATGAAAGATTCTGTCCAGACCATCCAGCTAAGCCACGCCTGTATTTCTGACCCACAGAAGTTCTGAGATAGTAAATGTTTATTTTAAGCTGCTGTGATTAGGGGTAATTTATTGTTACACATCAATAGACAACTAATACAGAGACAGATGAAATAATTGCAAATGAAAATAAGTGCGTACACCAACTTACAGCAGAGCAGATGCCCATCATGAGAAGTGGTATGATCACATGATTAATGAAATAGGTACTGGAGACAGAATTTTAATTTCAGATCCTGGTTCTGTCACATACTTGCTGTGAGACCTGAGTAAGTCTGGTTTGTTTGTTTTTTTCATTCTATTTTCTAATTTGATAATTTGTAACATAAGATAATAACAGTATTTACACTACAGTTGTTGTGAAGAGTCAACAGGTTAGAAGATGAAAATGTCCCAGGGCCTGGCACATTTTAAGGGCTCAATTAATGTAACTATGGTTATTCTGCATAGGTTCTTGAGCATTTGTTAATAATATATTTGCCTGAGCTATGCCTTGATGGTCCATAAGAAGGGGATTTCTTTGGAGGACAATGAGATAGAGCTTCCTCCCCTCCACTTGCTACACACAAAATCCAGGAGTGATGAGAAAGGGGGCTCTATTGTTAGGAAATAGAGAGCAATCAGGCTTCTTGTGCTTTGAAGATTGTGAATACTGGTGATCTGTTCATCTAGCACCCACTGTCCTTTCTTTGCTTACAGGACTTCAGTTTCACTTATGTTGCCTCCACCTTCCAACCCGTGTGATTTAAGGAACACCCACCCCACTGCCAATTCCAGTTATGGTAATCAGCTTTTGCATGGGGGCCAGGCACAGAGATCAAACTCACAGTGGTCCCAGCTGCCTGGAATAAGGCTGTGTATGGACCCGAAACTATTGAGCTATGAACCTAAGACCTTCCTGTGAGAGGTACCATGGCCAATGTCTTGTGTAGGAGAAGCCTTGTTGGCCATTGTGGGACCTGCATCGCTGCAGACCTGCATCTTTTAACCAGTTGGAAAATACAGGTTGTTAACAGCGACATCATGTGGCTACATGATGCAATGACAGCGGTGGGCAGATGAGCCGCCTGGCCTCTTCAGGTGCGTGGAAGGAAGTTGGATTCTCCCTTGGGAATTTTTGGATCACTCAACTACCTATGAATTTTTAAAAATGGGTATGGACCCTATTTGTATATCCTCAGCTTATTAAACTGAGAACTAAAGGATTGAGCTGACTTCCTTTTGTGAAAAAAAAAAATAAATAAAGCAGCAATCATATTTGTACACTGTTGGAGCTGTTTTGTGTGGTGTTTTTTTTTTTTTACAGTTTTCACATATATAACAGGATGCAACAAAATTAGGCTTGAAGACACCCAGACAAAAAACAACAACTTTTCATTTCATACCTCTTTTGAAAACTTGTCTAGTTCCCTATCACTCCAAGATAAAGTCCCAGCTTCTTAGCATACTTCCTGAGGCTTTCCTCCTCAGCCTCTCTAGTGATGTAACACATTCTTCAACTTTCTCAGGAAGCCCTCAGTAAGTCCCACAATATTTGTACATGTTTGGGGAGTTAGGTTTTTTAGGGAGGGCAGATATGAGCTGCACAGAAGGGACCCAGCCGGGCTTAATTACAAAAAAAACACAAAAAACACAACAAAACGGTAAGGTTTGCTAAGCACTTGTGAAATAGGCATTATAATAATGTGCTTTTGAGTTATTAATGTGCACATGAAGTTTTCTCTAACCTTTCTTCCCTGTATTGCTGGGGAATTCTTACTCATCATTCAGAATCATTCTTAAGTATTTCTCCAGGTTTGCCATTCTCGAGTATGGTTGCACATTAGAACCACTTGGGGAGCTTTCCAAACCATGGACACCTGGGTCCCACCCTGGAGATTCTGATTTAATTGGTCTCAGGCCTGAGCAACAAGGGTTTCAAAGCTCCCCGGTTAATTCTAATGTGCAGCCAGGTTGAGGACCACTGGTTTAGGAAGACTTCAGTGACTGACTTAGGTAAGCCTCCGTCTCTGTCCCTCCTGCGCCCGTCACAGCCTTCTCTGATCAGATCACAATGTCTCCTAATTTCAGAGTGCATACCCATTCTCCTTAACTAGACGCTGAGTATCTCCAGTCAGCCACCTCTGCACCTCTGGAGCCCGACGGAGGTCCTGACATTTTGTGGAGATTTGGAAAATGACGAATGGGAGGGTAAAATGTCACCAACAAACGCTTTTAGGGTCCTCCAAATGCCAGGCGCCGCAGTGCTCAGCCAGGTCTGGAACATAGAGAACAGCTGATGGGTCCTGCAGCAAGAACTCGCAGCGAGGGCGGGTGTAGGTGTCGGGCGGGCAGTCTGTGGCGGCCACGTGCCCCGGGCCTCCCTTTCACCGATAGCCTTAAATGTTTATTTCTTACCAGTAAGTCGCCCGGGCAAAGTAGAGCTCCCGGTAGGTAGGTCAGGGGTTCTCAACCTTGACTGCACATTAGAATCACCTGGGAATCTTTAAAATCCTGATTTCTGGGCCTCATCCTCCAGAAATTCTGTTTCTTTGTTACTAATGTTGTGGCCCCACCCCATAGCAAAGAAACAGAATTTCCGGAGGATGAGGCCCAGAAATCAGGATTTTAGAAAGATTCCCCGGTGATTCTAATGTGCAGCCAAGGTTGAGAACCACTGCGGTAGGAGGTAAAACACCTGCGAGCCAAGAGCGAAAGACAAGTGTGGAGGAAGCGCGCAGGCGCAGATGGCAACGCTGGGCCCAAGCTTACAACTGTTTTGATGTAAGCCCCGCCCCCAGCAGCGGAGCCAACCAGAGGGCGCGGGGCGGTTCCAGCCTCCCCCGCGCGGCCCGAGAAATCGCTCGCGGGCGTCCGGAAGCGGAGCGGAAGGAGACACCTCGACGCGCTCGGGCTCGATTGGTCGGCCTTCCGCGGCGCCGTAACGGTCGCAGAGGCGGGGCCCCAGGCAGCGGAGCCGGCCCAGCTGGGCGCGCTGCTGGTGGGAGACGGGCGGCCGCGGAAGGTGAGTGCGGCACTCGGGGTTCGCGGAGGCGGCGGCTGTAGCACCCCCAGAATCGGCTTCCTCGGGGCCCTGCGAGTGGGCAAACTGACGCTTGTCGTGGGGACTGGTTCGCGCCGATTGAAAATCTCAGTCGTGTGTTGGGATCGGGTCCCCGAGGAACCCGGCTTTGTGATCTTCGGCCGCTGGCGTACCGTCTCGGCGCCGCAGTTTCTGCGTTTACCGAGCACAGCTGGTCCCGTTTGCCCGGCGCGGTGGTTGAGGAGGCCAAGGGGGGGCGATACGTATAAATCTTAGAGCAGCGACTTCCCACCCCTTTCCTCTCAGGGCACATCAACTAATAACGAAAATTCTGCGGCACGCCAAAAAATATGTATTTTTTGCTGATATAATAAAACAAAAAAAAAGGTATAATTTTGACTCATTCACCCCGGGTGCTGTTGTTGTGTTGGGCAGTGGAAGGGAACAGAGGTCGGTGCCCCGCGTAAACGGGCTGACAACCGCGGCGTTGAGTGATGCCCGCGCCCGCTGGGCTCGGGGTGCATTGTAGGTCGTCGGGAGCCTGAGGGGGTGCGTGGCTGGTGGGCGCTCGGGGCGAAGCCGGGGGCCGTGTGTGCGAGGGGGGAGGAGGTAGGTGTCCTCTTCTCCGCGTTCTCCATGCTCTGTCCCGACTCGGGGCGCATCGGACTTTTTGGGGGCGTCTAGTTGGATTCCGTGAAGGAAATCCGTGAGGTGGAAACCTCGGAGGCGGAGAGACCAACCGGAAAGGGTTTCTGCCGCCACTTGTTTCCAGGCTGTAATAGTGTCAAACGCCGCGCAGGCATCACGCATCTGCTGCTGCTGTTTTACTTTCCGTGTTGCCAAGAGGGCCCGGGCCTCCCCAGCTCCACTTTGGGGGGCAGGGGGCCCCACTGGGGTTTGGCCTCAGCTTGGGCTTCAAAGGGGGAGGGGGAGGAGGTGTGTTGGGCCCCGTATGTATGTAACCTCTCCTGGGGCAGATGGTTGGACTGAGATGATACCCAGTCCTAACCCCATGGCCTTATTTGTGGTAGATTCCGTTCTTTTCAGGAACGTTATTAAACAGCGTGTTGGCGTGTTTTTTGGAATAGAGCTTTTGCATTCGATAGACAGTAGAGACTTTGAAAACAGTGCGTGGTCCATTTATGGCAATAATGTGAAGGACATGCTTTTGAGAAAGCTAATCCCAGATTTTAACGCGACCCACCTGAGAAAGAGCAGTGACTCGCCAGGGTTATTTCCAGCTTCTCCCGCACCCTCTCACCCCCAAATGGTGAAAAATATTTACATTTTAATGTACGGTGCGGTGCACGTTGCAGGCGTTTCAGACCTGTCACGGGTAAGTCACCAAAGGGCTCTGGGGAAACCCGGCCAGAGCCAGAAAATACAGCTGTGTTTTGCACTTGGCTTTCTGTGCCACAGACGAACCAGCTCCTACCCTGCAACCCTGTGCCCAAAGTCTTCCTTGAGGTGAGGTATCAGAAAGGCCCAGGTCTCTTCCTGCAGCTCTTCCTGGCACAGCTGGAGTAGGGAAGGGCCGCTGCAAACTGTTGACATTAATTTCACCGTATGATCTCTAAAAAGGAGCATTTGGTTCCAGGGGGAATTGATGCCTTTGCCTTTTGTGTTCAGTGGTATTTATCTCTGAGCATGCTTCTTTTTAGCACCCTTGCAAATGAGAACATCCTACCTGTGAAGCCAGGAGTCAGAATTGATGAAAGATAGATTTGGACCCCAGCAGGGTGAGGAAAGCTAAGAAGCGGTGGTGAGCATCGGAGGCCATTAGCGGATGACTTCAGTTGTTCAGCCTCAGTTTGGTGGTTACCAGTACCATGAATTCCTGCTCTGGGAGTAACATAAGACCATTCCTACTAGGAGGTCGGACATTTTAAGATTTTGGCCTCTTTATTTTTTTGAAACCTAGATGAAGATCCAGTTTCAAACGTGAGATTCGAAATCAACTTGAATGACCAGATAAAAAGTGCAGGAGGAATGTGCTGTGACTGAGGTACGCCTAATGTGACATGACTCTCTGGATGTTGGGAGACCATGGAAAGAATCTATTGGTGTGTTTTGTTTTGTTTTAATCCTCAACGGAGGATATTTTCCCATTGCTTTTAGGCCAGGGAACCAACCAAAAACCCAGGTATGTGCCATTGATTGGGAATCGAACCCAGTGTAGGGGCTGATGCTCTAATCACTGAGCACACAGGCCAGGGCAAATCTATTGTTTATTGACTACCATACTGGGTATAATATATATTTCCTTTTGACCTCCTGATAATCCTATCAGGTAGATATTTTAAATTCAGTTAAGGAAATTGAAGCCCAGAGAGGTTAAATATCTAAGTTAACACAGCTGATCACCCACTAACTCTAATCACCACTTCTGTCCTGCTATGTGCCAGGCACTGATCTGTTTCCTTTCTACAGGCAAAACTTTTTTTTATTGCACTTAATCTTTCTGCACTTCACAGATATTGTATTTTTTACAAATTGAAAATAAGGTCCTTTATCAGCAAAAAGATTACAACTCTCTGAAGGCTCAGATGATGGTTAGTATTTTTTAGCAATAATGTATTTTAAATTAAGGTATGTACATTTTTTTAGACATAATGCTATTGCACATTTAATATAGTGTAAGCATAACTTTTATATATGCTGGGAAACCAAAAAATTTGTATGACTTGCTTTATTGTGGTGGTCTGGAGCCAAACCTGCAATATCTCTTGAGGTGTGCCTGTATATTAACTCCCCTAATCTTCACAACTACCCTATGAGCTAAACACTTGCTATTCTCACTTGATGATAAAGAAATGAGGCACAGAGAGATTAGTACTTTTCCTGGCTGTGTGGCAGAATCCACAATTCAAACGCAGGCAGTTTGGCTATAAAATTATACCAGGCTTTCTTTTGGTATTTCCTTTACTTTTATTATTACTTAATAAATTTTTTAAATAGTAAAATGAGTTTTATTATGAAATCAAGTAGAACACACATTCCAGATGCATAGCTTAGTGAATTATTGAAAGACAGTACCATGTAGGTCCGGGTGTAGAACAGTACTAGCCATGCCACAACTGCTCTGCTGGCCCATCCCAAGCACAACTACTTCCATTAGTAGCCATTCTTACTTTATAGTAATTGCTTCCTTGTGTTTTAAAAAACATTTTTTTCATAAATGCATATTCCTAGATATTATGTAGTTTTGCCCATTAAACATTTTTTTAAAAATATATTTTACTGATTTTTTACAGAGAGGAAGGGAGAGGGATAGAGAGTTAGAAACATCGATGAGAGAGAAACATCGATCAGCTGCCTCCTGCACACCCCCTACTGGGGATGTGCCCGCAACCAAGGTACATGCCCTTGACCGGAATCGAACCTGGGACCCTTGAGTCTGCAGACCGACGCTCTATCCACTGAGCCAAACCAGTCAGGGCCCATTAAACATTTTAAAAAATGTTTAATTTGTAGTTTTTCTCTGTTCCTTTCTTTTTTTTACAATTTTGTTTTCTGATAAAGAACCTGAGTCAATTGACCTGTATATTTTACAGTCTGGATTTTGCTGATTGTAAAATCAGGTCTAGTTCATATGTTCATCTGCCTTGGGTAGTTCCTGCACATTAGTAGTTGGGTTGCAGACTGGATCAGACTTAGTCATCCCCTTGGCAGTTGTCTAAATGGTGGTTGGCAAGACCATAGGAAGTGCATAATGTGTCCTTGTTTCTCTCTTCCTGATCTCAGCAGCTGGTGCTACTCGATGCCTATATATCTATTCACCGAAGGTTGCAAAATAGTGGTATTGTATTTCTATCATATCTTTTTCACTTATTGCTTGGAATACTAGTCCCTTATCTATTATTTAAATAGGCAGCAGTATAATTCCTTCAGGAAAGGCAGCATTTATTCTTGATTCCTACCATTTACTTACCAGTTTTCAAGATTATAAATTGGTTCTTTATTTCCTTTTTTTTCATTTTAGATATTATTGAATTTACATTTTAATGTAAATATTGATACTGTTAGACATTCACAAAGTTGAATTTTCCTATTTAAATGTATATATATTGAACATTTTCACTTAACTTTAATAATTCTGGTCCTTCCCTAAAGTCAACAAATATTTTTTGTTTATTGTATTTCTTCTTAGGAAAGCATTTATGCATAAACAAGAAATTGTGTGCATTTATACTTTTCCCAGTGAAAATTATGAATTGTCCTCTACTTGATTTTTAATATACAAATATGTCTTTGAGATAATTCATAACCAGTACATGAAGAGCATTATTGTTTATATTTACATCTACATAATATTTCATTTGTCTATCCTGGTACATTGTATGTTACCAGAATTTATTTACCAGTTCCTAATTGATGAATATCTAGTTTGCTTTTATTTTTTTTATAAATAACATTGTAGTAAATAATATTACCATTTTGTTGATGGTTTCTTTTGCTGTGCAGAAGCTTTTTTTTTTTTTTGATGTAGTCCCATTTTTTGTTTTGTTTTCTCAGTTTTCTTTGCTCTTGGAGATGTATTGGTAAACATATTACTGAGATGTCTGAGATTTTGCTGCCTATGGTTTCTAAGATTTTTACGGTTTCATGTCTTACATTTACGTCTTTTATCCATTTTGGCTTTATTCTTGTGTATGGTGTAAGTTGGTGGTCTAGTTTCATTTTTTGCATTGTCCAATTTTCCCAACCCCATTTACTGAAGAGACTGTCCTTACTCCATTGTCAAATATTAATTGAGCATAGTCTCAAATATTATTTTGAGCATAGTGGTCAATTTCTGGGTTCTCTGTTCTGTTCCATTGATCTATATGCCTGTTCTTGTGCCAGTACCAGGCTGTTTTGAGTACAGTGTCTTTGTAGTATAACTTGGTATCTCCAACTTTGTTCTTCTTTCTCAAGATTGCTGTGGCCATTCGGGGTCTTTTTTGGTTCCATATAAATTTTTGGAGTGCTTGTTCTAGATCTGTGAAATATGACATTTGTATTTTACTAGGGATTGCTTTGAATCTGTAGATTGCTTTGGGTCGTATGGACATTTTAATGGTGTTGATTCTACTAATTCATGAACACGGTATATTCTTCCACTTGTCTGATTGTTATGGCTGAGACTTTCAGTACTGTTAAACAAGAGTGGTGAAAGTGGGCATCCCTGTCTTGTTCCTGTTCTTCGGGGAAATGGTTTTAGTTTTCCCATTGAGTATGATGTTGGCTGTCGTTTTGTCATTTATGGCTTTTATTGTGTTTGATCCTTCTATTCTCACTTTGCTGAGAGTTTTTATCAAAAAAGGGTATTGGATTTAGTTGAATAATTTTTTCTGAAGCAGTTGCTATAATCATGTGGGCTGATGTTCTGTCCACTGAGCCAAACCAGCCAGGGCCAGTTCTCATTTTTTTTTTTAAATATATATTTTATTGATTTTTCACAGAGAGGAAGGGAGAGTGATAGAGAGCTAGAAACATTGATGAGACAGAAACATCTATCAGCTGCCTCCTGCACACGCCCCCAGTGGGGATGTGCCCGCAACCAATGTACATGCCCTTGACTGGAATTGAACCTGGGATCCCTGAATCCTCAGGCTGACACTCTATCCACTGAGCCAAACCGGTCAGGGCCAGTTCTCATTTTTATGAAGCCAGATTTGTTTATGGATCACGCTTTTGATGATATAGTTAAGAAATTTTTGCCTATTCCAAGGTCAGAAAGGTTTTCTATGCTTTTTTTCTAGGCACTTTGTATTTTTAGGTTTTTAGAGTTATGTCTATGATTCATTTTGAGTAAATTTTTGTTTATGGTGTGAGGTATGAATCAAAGTCTATTTTTGGGCACATAGATGTCCAGTTGCACTATTTTTAAAAAGACTATCCTTCCTCTGCTGAATCACTTTCTCACCTTTATCTTATATTTGTGGGTTTGTTTCTGGGCTTTATTCTTTATTTCTTTTCAAAAATATTTTTATTGATTTCAGAGAGGGTAAGAGAGATAGAAACATCAATGATGAGAGAGAATCATTAATTGGCTGCCTCCTGCATGTCCCACACTGGGAATTGAGCCCACAAGCCAGGTATGTGCCCTGACTGGGAATCAAGCCATGACCTCCTGGTTCATAGGTCGTGCTCAACCCATGAGCCACACCAGCTGGGCTCCTTGATCTTTATTCCTTTCTACAGCTCTTTCTTTCTATCAAGGAATCTTCTGCATGAAGCATCTTTAGGATTTTTTATAGAGCAGATTTGTCCTATTTGTTTTGTTTGAAAATATCCTTTGTCTTTATTATTAATGGATATTTTCACTGGGTTTAGAATTTTAGATTGGCAATTATTTTTCCCCCAGCACATTTATGATATTAGTCTACTCTTAGTTTTTGTCCTGGTAATTCCTCATTATCTTGTTAGTTCTTCAATGCTTTTAAGAAAAAAAGAGTTTTATTTGGCTTTCTTAGAGGCAGATTGCCTATTTGACTATTATAAAAAAAAATAAGACTACTAATGTCCTGGAATTTAGTTTTACCTAGACATATTATGTAAAACAACTTATAACAGCTGAGTAATTTGTAGAAAAAGGTCTAAGATAATATGATTGTATGCTTAGGTAAGTTCCATTTTGTTCAGCATACTTGTATATAACAACTACCAATTATCTATACATTTCTATGTGTCACACACTTGTATTAAATACTTTCTACATGTTGTCTGACGTAATTCAACCTCTGAGGTGTAGATATTATTATTACTCTTTTACAAATGAAGGTATCAAGGATCAAAGATGTTAATGAGTTTGTCCATGTCACACAGTTTAATAAATGGTTAAGCTGGTAGTCACTCAGGCCATTTGTCTCTGAACTCTAAACCTCTATACTTTATTCTTTATAGTGCTACAAGAGCATATAACGAGAACCTGATCTAGTCATGGAATCAGGGGAGATTTCCCTGAAGAAGGAAATTTGAGCTGACATCAGAAGGTCAAGTATGAGTTAACTAAGTGAAGAAGAGATTGAACTCCTAGGTCTTGAACATGGAGGGAGATGGCATTTTGAAGATTAGAGAGAGGTCCAGGGTGGATGTTGGAAGACTGTTAGAATATGTGGCTCCATGCTTTTTGGGAAATTCTCTTACATTGATGTCTGCTAACCTTATGTCTGGTTTACATGGTGTATTCTTTCCACTTTAAACTTTGGCTGATTACTAATGGTGATGCAGTAGGAAGAACAAAGCACTACCTCTGAATTATTCTTGCCATAAAATACTGAACTGAAATTTAATAAAGCTTCTAGATATAGCCAGTTTACAAGAAATATAGGAGATGGATAAATATGTTAAATGATGAGAATGCAATAAGCTAAATCTGAAATGCGGGTAACTCTGAAGACAAATGGCCTATTTCTTTAACAAATGCCATATTAAAAAGGAGACTGGGACTTAAAAATTAAAAGAAACGTGTGTGCTGTATATGGAATTTTGAAAAAAATCACAAGATATTTGGGGAAGTTGAACATGGATTAGATATTAGGTAATAGAAAAGAATTACTGTTATTTTTATTGGGTGTGATAATGAGTCTATATTTGTTAAACATGTATACCGAAATATAAGTGGGTAAGGAAGAAATGTAACAAGAATAGAAGAATGTTATTGGAGCTGGATTGATGACTACATGAGTTCATTATAGTCTTTCTCTACTTTTGTGTAGTTTTAAAAAAATTTCTCGAATGAAAAGTTAAAAAGCTAGTAACTGAAGTTGGCTGACTTTTTTTTTTTTTTTACATATTGTAATTTTTTTTTTTTTATATTTTTATTGATTTTTCACAGAGAGGAAGGGAGAGAGATAGAGAGAGTTAGAAACATCGATGAGAGAGAAACATCGATCAGCTGCCTCTTGCACATCCCCCACCGGGGATGTGCCCGCAACCCAGGTACATGCCCTTGACCAGAATCGAACCCGGGACCTCTCAGTCCGCAGGCTGACGCTCTATCCACTGAGCCAAACCGGTTTCGGCTTGGCTGACATTTTTTAAAAGGATCTTTTTATTAAAAAATATATATATTTTATTGATTTTTTTACAGAGCGGAAGGGAGAGGGATTGAGAGTTAGAAACATCGACCAGCTGCCTCCTGCACACCCCCTAACTGGGGATGTGCCTACAACCAAGGTACATGTCCTTGACCGTAATCAAACCTGGGACCCTTCAGTCCTCAGGCCGACGCTCTCTCCACTGAGCCAAACCAGTTAGGGTCAAAAGGATCTTTATTTAAAATAAAGGCAGAAGGGTTTAATGTAGTAGGTGATTGAGTTATTGAAAGAGACCAGAGTTTAAAGGGAGAAAGGACTGATGTGAAACTGCAAAAATGGCAGCATTTGAGAATCTGTAATATGTTACTAGGTTTAGCTAAAAATAAATTATTAGTGACCAATAAATTGTTTAGTTGGATTTCACTATCTGAAGCAGAAGGGTGCTTTGGATGAAACATTGAACTGGCAGGAAGGAGGCCTACCCCTAGTCAGTCCTGGAAAATTATTGCACATCTCTGGGCCTCAGATGGCTCTGGTACCTGATATATTGGTACAGCTCTCCCTACACTCTTTTCTGCCAGCTATGAACAGCTAGAGATTTCGTATTAAACAATTTTCAAGGTCCTCTCAAGTTCTAAAATTCCATGATGCTAATGAATATGTGGGATTGTGCCTCTGGAGGGGAGGAATTATACCTATATATCAAACAACCCAAAGAATTTTTTTTCTATAGAATGGTACAGTCTTAGATAATGAGAGCAAGTGATGGTAGGTTAGACTGAATATAAACTTTTGTGTGTGCCTGTCAAACAGAATCCTTTGTTGCTAACCTCTGATTTACTTAGAAATAAAGTCCACCTAAGAAAGTAGCATTCCATTCATCCTTGGAGTCAGTCCAGTGAATTGTTAGACTGGCCCGTAACTTTTGGGTAAGGCACAATTCTTTTAGTGTTTTTGAAAAGCAGCTTCTAAAAGATAACAGTTTATTAGCATCATGTGCTTTTCATATCCAGTTAAAACAAAAATATTTTTCTTTGTGCTGGTATGTGTGTAAAGCCCCATATTGTTTTATATCTAGAGGAGAACATTGTAAGATAGGGTTTATTCTAATCATTCTTTAAATTAGCTTTCTAAGAAGTAACAAAAGTTTTGACACAGGAATGGCTTAAATTGCTCAAGAGTAGTGGTTCTTTTAAGTATAATTTCATTTAACACCTCTTGTACTTTTTTCTGTTTTAATTTAGGCAACTCAGAATTTTTCACTGCCAGTCTCTACTTCTTTGGTTCTGCAAAGGAAAACTGTATCTCCAGCAGCCCCTCAAGTCCAGCAGTCCAGTAAATCATCAAACAGACTCATGACTGAAAAACAGGTAAATGGGAAATATTTGAAACCAGTGTTTTTCAAAGTATGTGGTGGCAAATAATACTACATCTGCAAATGTGAAAAATCTTAAATTCTTAATTCAAAAGATTTCAGGTGTACAGCATAGGGAGTATAGTCAATAATATTGTAATAACTATGTATGGTGCCAAGTGGGTACTGGAAATATTGGGTGAACACTTTGTAAAGTATATGATTATCTAACCACTATGCTGTACACCTGAAACTGATACAAAATAATATTAAATGTAAACTGTAATTGAAAAATAAAGTAAAAAGATTCTTTTCTTTAGTAAAACTAGAGGCCCAGTGCAAGAAATTTGTGCACTGTAGCGTGCGTGCGTGCGTGCGTGCGTGCGTGCGTGGGGGGGGGAGTTCCTCAGCCTGGCCTGCACCCTCCAGGAGCCCTCGGGGGATATCTGACTGATAGTGGGCCTAAGCCAGTGATGGCGAACCTATGACACGCATGTCAGAGGTGACACATGAACTCATTTTTTTGGTTGATTTTTCTTTGTTAAGTGGCATTTAAATATATAAAATAAATATTAAAAATATACATCTTTATTTTACTATGGTTGCAAATATCAAAAAATTTCTATATGTGACATGGCACCAGAGTTAAGTTAGGGTTTTTCAAAATGCTGACACGCTGAGCTCAAAAGGTTTGCACCAGCACTGCTGCAGAGGTGAGAGAGGCTCCCACCGCTGCCTCTGTGCTCACCAGCCATGAGCCCAGCTTCTGGCTGAGTGGCGTTCCCCCTGTGGGAGTGCACTGACCACCAGGGGGCAGCTCTTGCATTGAGCGTTTGCCCCCTGGTAGTCATTATGCGTCATAGCGACCGGTTGTTCCACTGTAGGGTTGATTTGCATATTAGCCTTTTATTATATAGGACTAGAAGCCCGTTGCAGGAAGATTCCTGTAAGACTAGGGCTTCCTCGGGCTGTTTGTGCCCCCAAGCCCCGCAGCCCAGGGCCGCACATGGGGGTCCCGCCCGCCCAGGGTCGCACACAGGGGCCTGCCCGCCCAGGGCCGCACACGGGGGTCCCGGCTGTCGGTGGGGCTTAGGTTGCAGCTTGTGCTGGCCTGCCCTGCCTGCCGTATGCAAATTAGCCGCCATCTTTGTTGGTGGTTAATTTGCATATTATGCTGATTAGCCAATGGGAGGCATAGCAAAGGTACGGTCAATTACCATGTTTGTCTATTATTAGGATAATTTTGGGAAATGCCAGGTTAAAGACTATTACATGATTTCTTTCTCTTTTTTTTTTATTACTTAAAGTATTACAAAGAGTATTACATATGTCTCCTTCCCGCCTGCCCCCCCTTGACAGTCCCCCGGCTTCCCCTACCCCCCTGTGGCTTGTGTCCATTGGTTATGCTTATATGCATGCATACAAGTCATTCGGTTGATCTCTTACCCCCCCTCCTGTCCCCAAACCCTCCCCGGCCTTCCCACTGTAGTTTGACAGTCTGTTCGATGTTGCTCTGCCTCTGTATCTATTTTTGTTCATCAGTCTATAATGGTCTTTATTATCCATAAATGAGTGAGCTCATACGGCCAATTACCATGTTTCTCGATTATTAGTTAGGATAATTTTGGGAAATGCCAGGTTAAAGACTATTACATGATTTCATTACTCTAAGATATCAGTCTCTAAAAGGAGGCTCAAGTATAAAGTGTTCTGCAGCACATACCTTTGGAAAATGCCATTCTTAGCTCTTTTCAGAATTTGCAAACAGTTAATGTTATTCTTTCTCTTAAAAGGTATTAGAGGTTGCCAAAGCCAGTTTGGCTCAGTGGATAGAGCGTCGGCCTGCGGACTGAAGGGTCCCGGGTTTGATTCCGGTCAAGGGCATATACCTGGGTTGCGGGAACATCCCCAGTGGGGGATGTGCGGGAGGCGGCTGATCGATGTTTCTCATCGATGTTTCTGACTTTATCTCTCTCCCTTCCTCCCTGTGGGGAATCAATAAAATATATTAAAAAAAGAAAAAAAAGGTATTAGAGGCCCTGGCCAGTGTAACTCACTTGTTTGGAGTGTTGTCCCATACACCAAAGATTGCAGATTCAATTCCTGGTCAGGGAACATACCAGGTTGCAGGTTTGATCCCCTGTTGGGGTGCATGCAGGAAGCAATTGATCAATGTTTCTCGCCCTCACCCTCGCCCGCAAAAAAATCAATTGAAAAGATAAGGAGCAACATGTATAACTTGATCATTCAAAATTCATGACATTATTATTTACAAAGCATTTTGTCATTATGAGTCATACTAGCTAGACCTCCACAGAGCTTTTGGCTACTAAAACAGATATCAGTAATACTTTTTTTTATTTACTGATTTGAGAGGGGGTTGGGACAGAAACATCAATTTGTTGTTCCACTTATTTATGCATTTATTGGTTGCTTTTTAAAAAAATTTATTGATTTCAGAGAGAAAGGGAAAGGGAGAGATAGAAACATCAATGATGAGAGAGAATCATTGATTGGCTGCCTCCTTCATGTCCCCAACTGGAGATAGAGCACACAACCCGGGCATGTGACCTGGGCTGGAATCGAACCCAGGACCCTTCAGTCCACAGGCTGATGCTCTATCCACTGAGCTAAACCGGCTAGGGCTATTGGTTGCTTCTTATATATACCCTGACCGGGGAGCTTATCAGAACAACACTGTAACCAACTGAGCTACCCAGCCAGGCTATCAGTAATAATTCTGGTTCTGTGTCATTAATTTTTGTGACCAGAAGACCTAAGCATAAATAAGAGGAAAGGTTTGGGGAAGGAGGAGAAGTGTAGAAAAGATAAAGAAGGGAAAGAAAGTCAGCAATCAAAAGGAAAGATTTATTTGGTGCTGTGGGTCATAATGCTGTCAAAGAGTCATTAGGGTAATTTGTTCCTTTTTTGCCTGGATAGAGTCTTTAATGTCAGAGGAGCATTTGGATGTGACGAGTAATGCTTTTATTCTTGCTTTGTCTGTCTGAATTATTAACCTTTAAGCTATTACAGTATTTACATACTATACTAGTAATAAAAATGTATTTATTGTATAAATTATATTTTTTCAAGCATTTAAACATTGAAAAGTCACTCAAATTGGCTTTTTACAAATATTCTTTAATACCTTAAAGAGCATGCAAAGCACCTCACACAGTGATTTCAAAATTGATTATTGTACGTAACATTAAAAGCCCATTATAAAACTATATTAATATCGGGGATTTAAATGTGTCATTTAAAAAATTATCTCTATTATTCCGATCCATCTTTTTAAAAATATGTTTTTATTGATTTCAGAGAGGAAGGGAGAGAGAGATAGAAACATCAATGATGAGAGAGAATCACCGGTCAGCTGCTCACTGGGAATTGAGCCTGCAACCCAGGAACGTGCCCTGACTGCGAATCGAATCATGACCTGTTGGTTCATAGGTCGACGCTCAACTAGTGAACCACATCTGCCAGGCCTGATCCATCTTTTATGTCCTTATTTCATTTTTCTTCCCATTGTTTTGTTTTTTATTTTATTTTTTTATTGATTTCAGAGAGGAAGGGAGAGGGAGAGAGAGAGACGGAAACATCAGTGATGAGAGGGAATCGTAGATCGGCTGCCTCACGCATGCCCTCACTGGGGATCAAGCTCACAACTGGGGCAAGCGCCCTTGACTGGAATTGAACCCAGGATCCTTCAGTCTGCAGGCCAACACTCCATCCACTGCGCCAAACCAACCAGGGCCCCATTATATTTTTATTCACTTAATCTAGAGAGTTAGAGTTCCCCTCTCAGCTTTATGGCATAATGACATACTTAGAATCACTCAGAAAAACAAAAACAAACAAACAAAAAAAGAATCACTCAGAATGACTCTACTCAAATCGGTTACCTGAATGGACAGACTTCTTTTTATAGTTAGTTTCTTATATAATGGATATGATCTATTTAAATTATTGGCTCCAACCATTCAGATATGGTTTTATTGTGTGTGTGTGTCCTTAATCATTGTTAAAATGACACTTATTTCCAAGTGACTCACCTTCTCTTTACTATTCAATTAATGCAACTCAGTTTGCAGTTGTTTCTTTTGAGTGGGCCCTGATCTGGTTCAGTTAAATGAAAAACCTAAGGTCTGTTTGATTCACTGCAATTACAAGGTGTTTTTTAGTTGTTTTGTTTTAATTTTAATTATTGTATGTACACAAAACTTAATATTAAAATTTTTTGGAGAAAAAGTTCTGTTATTCTGAAAATGAAGGAAATTATGTACAAGAAGGTATTTTTTCACTTATATCATAAACTTGATCCTTTTCTCTCCTTTGTGATTGTAGCAGGAAGAAGCAGAATGGGAGAGCATAAATGTGCTGTTGATGACGCATGGCTTAAAACCTTTAGTTCTAGTCAAAAGAACAGATCTTAAAGGTAACCAGATCCTATTCTTGCCCCTGATGGTAAAAAGCTGTTTTTTTCTTTACAGTATTTTTTTCTTAAAAATTTTTTGCCTTACCTTTATTTTTACTATTTGTATTCTATTTTTAAAAAAATATAGATCTCATCGTTTTTGACAAACGGTCATCACAAAGGATGAGACAGAACTTGCAAACGTTGATGGAAGAAACAGCGCGTCAACAGAATGTGATCCAGGAGCTCATAGAAACTAATCAGCAGCTTAAGTAAGAAAATGGGGTAGGGGGACCTCTTGAATTTTTTGTATCTAGGTGGATGCAAATACAAATATATATTTTTAAAATATATTTTTATTGATATCAGAGAGGAAGGGAGAGAGAGATAGAAATATCAATGATGAGAGAGAATCCTTGATTGGCTGCCTCCTGCACGTCCCCCACAGGGGATTGAGCCTGCAACCCGGGCATGTGCCCTTCACTGGAATTGAACCCGGGACTCTTTAGTCTGCAGGCCGATGTTCTATCCACTGAGCCAAACCAGATAGGGCACAAATATAAATATCTTTAATAGGTAATCTTTTGGTGATAACTTAGCAAAGAAATTTTAGACATTCATTATGTTATTAGATGAGTAGATTTGTTGATGTGATTTATGTTTATTACTAAGGAAGGACTTGTGTGTCTATCATTAGAAAAGAACTTCAACTAGAAAAATGCCGAGCAGTAGATCAGGAACAACGAGCTAATGACTTGGAAGAAATAATGGAGGGTGTGAAATCTAAAATTGGTGAATTGGAGGATGAATCCATAAATAGAGTTTGCCAGCAGCAGAATAAAATGAAAGATCTTCAAAAGGAGCATAAAGCTTTACAGGTACTGAGTTATATATTTTCTTACATAATGTAGTATAAAACAGCTCATCAAGGTTACAGGTGACTTCCATGTTGCTTAATTCAATGTTCTTTACCTTACTTGGCCTATTACTGTTTCTTCTTGAGATTCTTCCCTTGTTTCTAGAATATTTTCTCCTTTGGTTTCCCTTTAACCCCACTGCTGATTCTTCTTATCTCCCTAACCTCTCAGTGTTGGGATTCCCTAGTAGTAATTCCTTAGTCCTTTTTTCTTCCCTATATACTCTAACTCCCTTGGTGATGCTCAGTCTTTCTTAGCACCTAATTTAAATCTATAGTCCAAACCTCTTCTCTTACTTCCTGACTTATTTCCCACTACCCACTTGACATCACTGTAGGCATCTAGAACTTCACATGTCTAAAACTGAGTTCCTGTATTTCCTCTCCAAAACTTTCTTCTTTTAGTCTCCACTCTGGTCCAAGTCACCTTCACTTATCCCCTGCTTCTCTCTTGGCTTTGCTGCTTCTCACCTTGCCTTTTTTCTTTTTCTTTTTCTTTTTTTGTTAATCCTCACTGAGGATGCTTTTCCATTGATTTTTAGAAAGAATGGAAGGGAGAGGGAGAGACAGAAAGAGAGAAACATTGAGGTGAGAGAGACACATCTATTGGTTGCCTCCTGCATGCGCCCCAACCAGAGCCAGGGATTGAGCCTGTAACCGAGGGACACGCCCTTGACTGGAATCGAACCTGAGACCCTTCAGGAAGGGCCGTCACTCTACCTACTGAGCCAAGGCAGCTAGCGGTCCCCTTGGTTTTTTTGTTTTTGTTTTTGTTTTTGTTTTAACATATTTTTATTGATTTCAGAGAGGAAGGGAGAGAGAGAGAGAGAGAGAGAGAGAGAGAGAGAGAGAGAAACATCAATGATGAGAGAGAATCATTGATTGGCTGCCTTCTGCACGCCCCACACAGGGGATGGAGCCAGCAACCTGGGCATATGCCCTGACTGGGAATCAAACCTCTGACTTCCTGTTCATAGGTCAATACTCTCAACCACTGAACCTTGCCTTTTTAATGTGCTCTCAAGATAGTAGCTCGATACTCTCCAATGGCTTTCCTTTTTCTGTAGTGTTAGGGAGATTCTCGGTTTCCTTTACTGTTATGAAACCTTGAATGCAAGCAGTTATAAGCTACAATTCCTCTATTTTATACCTATTTTACTTGTTACATGTTTACATTTATGACAGTGTTTCTGGAGCTAGTACCTATTTAAAAACAGCCTCAGTACTGAAGTTCTTGAATGAAGCAGTTTGATAGAAACTGTGAAGATGGCTTTGTGTATAATACTGTTAGAAGTGCATGTCCTAGATGTACATGTTATAATTATGTTTTTTAAAAATTTCTTCTAGGCAAAATGTCAGCATTATAAGAGAAAACAAATGGAACAACAAGAGGCTATTGCTTTTTTGCAAAAGGATATCTGTAGATTATCAAAGGAGGAGGAAGAGCGCATTGCCACTCAAAACAGAGTATTTTCTTATCTCTGCAAAAGAGTTCCTCATACCATCTTGGATAGACAGTAATGTTTACTTTATTGATATGTGGATAGATTCATCATTTTTTAAAACTAATTTTATCTTGGGAGTGGTTACATATATCTCTTATAAATTGGGTTCTGCTTTCTATATAGCAGGATAAAAATCCCCAGGATTTCTGAGCAAAGAAATTAAGCCCAGAAACAGAAAGACAAGTTAATGATGAGCTGTAATAGTCTAGGTGGGAGATAATGAACGCCTGTGTTAGGGCTAAAAGAGAGATTGCAGAGATGGACAGGAATTGTCCAGACTGACTGGCTATCGTTGTTGAGAGGAGGAGTGGAGTCAAAGATTATTAGATTTCAAGTTAGATTTGGGGAATGGAGAGGAAAGATGACAAATTCATTTTTGGACATGTGCCTAAGCACCTTATGCCAGCTATGTAGAAATAAATAGCAGGGCTGCAGTTAGAAGGACTGAACTCCAGAGAACTTCCAAATTTCAGATAGACAAAAGAGAGGCAGAAGAGAAGTTATGTTTGGGCGTCAGGATAACCAAGGAACAGAATGTTTCAAGGAGAAGGTGGTACGAAGTGTTACATGCTGCCTCATCAGTGTATATGTTTACCTTCTTCCTGTCTTATTTGCTCAGAACTCCCATTTGACACAAATAACTCCTCACTACAAGTTTATTGAAGATAGCCGGTAGCAGTCACCCAGAATGAATGAAGTTTGCTAAGGAGGAAAAGATAAAAATGGAATGGTAGCTTAAGAGGGAAGTGTGGGGATGAGAGGGCTTGTGAAGGATAGAAAGGATGATATGTAAGCTAGTATGTGTGGGTATGGGGAAAGGTTGAAAAGAAAGACTAATCCATAAAGTTATAGTATTAAAAGCACAATTAGCTGAATTAGATTTAAAGGCAAGAGATTGGTAAGTTTCCCCAAGATAGGAGAGAAATAGTATGAATTCTTATTTTAAAAAGAATAACATGTGAAAGTATAGTGTTATTTTATTTTTCTTTGAGGATTTTTTAAATTAAAAAAGCAGTACATGCTTATAAAAATTCAAATAATATAGAAGTGTTTAAAGTAAAATGTTATAGACCTGCGTGTCCCTCCTAATTACCACACCTTAGAGATAACCACGTTAATCGTTTGGTTTGTGCCCTTCCTAGTGTTTCACAACAGGAGGACTCTTGGTATTTTGGGTGGGACAATTTATTATTGTGTAGGGCTGTCATGCTCATTGATGAAATTTTAATATCTTGCCTTCTCCCCAACCAGTCTGCAGCCCCAACTCTGTTCCCTAGATTATAGTATTATCCCACAGTTACGAACCTATAGCGTTCTTTTCCAATACACATACAAAATCACATACAATTATTTCTTTAAAAAATAGTAGTGGTATACATTTGGCTATGCAACATTAATTTTTCCCTTACTCCTTATTAGGACATACAAATACACATTGTTTTTCTAACGCTTCATCATTTTCTATAGTATGGATGTGCCATTATTTATTTAACTTTTTCCTTGTTGAAGAGTAAATTGTTTCTGTGTTTTCACCTTTCTAAATAATGGTGCAATGAGCAACTTTGTTCATCTTGACTACAACCTTGGGGCATATATTTCTGTGAGAGTGATTGCTACAGGTAGAACTGTTGGGACTACGAGAATATACATTTAATATGCTGAAATATAATGATTGTGGTTATTTTTAAAACTATGCTTTGAAAGTAATATATGATTTAGTATAATACTTCTGGCAAAACCACTTAAATTTTTTATAAACTTGCTAGATTATCTGTACACTTATCACTGTAATTTGAAATTATGTAGAAAGAATAGTAAATGCTACAGTATCACATTTTGAAATAATTTATTTCCTGTTTTCTAGGTTGCTTTGCCTAATTGACTACTATGAATCCAAAATTAGAAAACTTCATAAACAAAGGTATAGCTAATTCTGTATGGCAGTTTTAAAAATACTATCCAGTTGTGAATCACACCAAAAGTAGTCAGCCTTTTGAAACCTAAAATATGCTTTGGAAATCTACCTAATATGTAACTATGAATTTTTTAATAAAGCTCTTGAAGACTGTATTTTACTACTTATGTTAAAATCTATTGTTGCATTTATATTAAATATATATATTTATTTCACCAAAATATTGGTTACAGAAGAAATAGGATTTACTGTATATTTTAAAGTATTATAATTTATTCTATTTGATGTCATCAAGCCATCAGATACTGAGTATATTCACAAAGTGATATAATTAGATTAGTTATCTACCAAAGTACAGTCTAATTAGTGTGCAGATTTATATGAGCTAAAGATAAAATGTCATAGAGAAAAATCAAGCATATAGACTAAAACATAGTTTACCTCTGATTAAAGAAATTAAAGGTAAAGATAAAAATAATGGTCTTCAATTAACCTAAAATAGCTGAAGAATCTAAGGCCAAATGACCTAAAGTGCTTTCATATACGGTCATTAAAATAGTAGCTATTCTATTTCATCGTTTATAGATGGGACAGTTCTTTTAACAGATACTTATTTGAGCACCTTCTTTGTGCCATGGTTTGGTTTAGGGACTAAGGATACCATGATAAGCTAAGCAGATAAATCTCCACTTTCATCAAGCATACATTCTAGTATTCTTAAGAAAAATAACTTTCCAGAAACTCAGCAGGACCAGTGACAGAGCTGTGCTGGTTGCTGATTCCTTCTAGCCCCTTGAGACTCTTTAAAAAAGAGAGCAGATGGAGGGAAGAAGTGGAAAAAAGTGAAAGGAAGGGAAGACAAGAAAAGAACAGCTCATGGTAGAGTAACTCCTTGCTTCATTCTATTCAGAAAGCAGTATTATAAGTAACTTCAGGGACCTTCTGGTTTTCAAATGAAACTTGTGTTTTAGATGGTAGGCATGGTGTTAGCTTCTACAGAGATAGGACAAAGTTTTAGGTAGGATCCTTACATTCTAGGATTTTGTAGTCTGTTAAGGGAAATAAAATGTCCACTTATACTTTGCATTTTTTCATATTGTTATTTTGGTGACATAAAAGTACTAGAAGGAAAAAAACAGTATGCTTTGTTTGTTTACTCATTCAACAAGTGCTTTTTCATTCACTCTTAAACTCCATACTCTTCTAAAAAATGAGATACCATGGCAAACAAGACAAAGTTCTGGTTTCCATTGATCTTATATTTTAATTAAGATGATAGCAGATATATTACTATTAGGTAGTAGTACCTAATACCTAATACCATTCTCTATAAGGACTAGTAGGAAATTTGGCTTAAATTTCAATTCATATTTGGGTTATCAAAATGTTACTAGATTGATTTAATTTTTGTTAGCTGAATTGTTCCTTTGAAGATAGATTTTTTCATAAGTGTACTGCATCTATTTTTTCATAGGCAATATAAAGAAGATGAAAGTCAGTCGGAAGAAGACTACAGCAGCCTTGATGCCTCACCAACTTATAAAGGCCTTCTACTGGTACAGAGACGACCTGACTCATACATACTTTTTTATAAAGTGAAGTAGTCATGTAGGAAAGTTAACTTTTTTTTTTTATGAAATGTGTTGCAGTCATTACAGAATCAACTGAAGGAATCAAAATTTAAGATTGATGCACTTTTAAGTGAAAAGCTGAATCTCCAAAAAGATTTGGAAACCAGGTGAGAGAAACTTAAGTAATTTTTATGTAACCTTTGAAAAGTAAACACATATTGGAATTTAGAATGTTAAATGAGTCATTCTAGCCCTTTTACTCTAAAACTAATCTTGAGGAAATTCATACTCTCATATTCATTTTAGTCAGTTGTCTCTCATATGATGGAAGGAATGAGAACACATAGGTAGGCAAGGGAAGTGAGAAAATAGGAGTCTACATTGAAAAGATAAAACTGGGTAGGAGCTCAGAATTGATTCAGTAGTAGATTCTTATACTAGTAGGTTTCCCATCCCCAAATTCCTTTAGGACATATTATTTCATCTTATCCTTATGTTATGGGAGAAGAATAAAATGAAAAGTTTAAATGGCATACTATAGAAAGGTATATTTATATACTGCATACTACCACAAAAGAATGAGACTCTACATGTGTACAGTGATTAGTAAGGAATGAGACATTTAATTCAACAAATATTTGTTGAACATCTATTATAAGTTAGACACTTTCCTAAGCTCTAGTATAATATAATGACCAGAACGAATACCTTGTTCTCATAAAGCTTATACTTTAATGGAGAGGGCACTGACACCTGTAGTATAAACCTCTTATATAAATTTTAACAACCTGCCACATAGTAATATGGAAAATTATGATAATATAAATAATAAAAATTTTAAAACATGTATGGGAATCATGAACAGTGAATTCTGAATAGTGGTTACTTGTGTTATGCAAAAGAGAGGAATGACATTAATAAGGGACACACATGCAGTGCTAAGTATATGTATAATGTTTTAGTTAAGACAGCGGTTTCAACCTGTGGGTCGCGACCCCTTTGGGGGTCGAACCACCCTTTCTCAGGGATCGCCTAAGACCATTGGAAAACACATATATAATTACATATTGCTTTTGTGATTAATCACTATGCTTTAATTATGTTCAATTTGTAACAATGAAATACATCCTGCATATCATATTTACATTACGATTTATAACAGTAGCAAAATTACAGTTATGAAGTAGCAACGAAAATAATTTTAAGGTTGGGGATCACCACAACATGAGGAACTGTATTAAAGGGTCGCGGCATTAGGAAGGTTGAGAACCACTGAGTTAAGAGATTTGAACCAAATCTGTTAATATTTAATTATAATATGGTAAAACTATTTGTAAAATACTATTTGTTTTACTATTTATTCTTGTCTGTACATTTGAAATATTTCCTATATAAACACATAATAGGTTTACAATGATAAAAATGGGTAAAAAGTTTTGAATAGAAAATAATAGAGAAGAAATCCAATGGCCAATGAACCCTCACTAGCAGTCGTGTGATATTTTAAGAATTTTAATAAGCATATTTGTGACAAGTAACAAAGTATACACTATTGTTTATTATTAAATATTCTTACATGTTTTTTAATAAATTGAATATATTTAATATGATTTATTTTCTACAGGCCCACACAGCATGAATTAATACTTTATAAACAACAGGTGAAGAAACTGGAGAAAGCCCTAAAGAAAAGCATCAAGTAATAATATTTTATGAAAGTTACAAATTTATTAGGCTTTTGTTTTTTATTATCTCTCATTTTCCCCTCATAGTGAGCTTGGCTTAAAATTACCAGGCTGATGGAGGGAAATGACATTTAAAAGGGGTATTTCTAGTTCCACAGTTTAAAAACAATTTCTACTGTTTTGGATTTGGCTATATATTCATCTTAAATAAGAACAAGAAAACAGAATTTGCCTAATTTAATATGGACAAGATTTTAACTAGAAAATTGTCTTTGGAAATCATGGAAGGATTATAAGAGAATCATTGAAATTAGAAATGGCAAGCCCCAAATCATGGGGGTAGCCATGACCTGAAGAATAATAGCCTCATCATACTTTAAAAGTACCAGAATGAATGCAGTGATCCATTTATATTCACCATTTGTATCTTTCTTGACTTTGAAAAGCATGTACTCAGAGGAGTTTCAAAAATTTTTCCTCTACTAGTGGTAATATTTTCTGAAGGTTATCTATGTGTACTCTTTGACTCAAGGGAAAGGGACTTAAAGGATCATTGGGATGAAATATTTTGAAAACTATGAATATATGTATTAGAAGTATTATATCAACTGTATATAAGTTGATTCAATTTTTAGTGACAGCTGTATTTCCTTCTTCCTGTGGCAACACATGCCACAGTGAAAGGCAAGTATTCTGGATATCCAAGAATTATATATTGAATTAAATAAAATAGTACAGAAGGAAAACTAAATAAAGAGAGAAGTGAAGGTTTGGGAAAGCTGCATTCATTCATTCATTCATTCCATTAATATTTTTTTTCCTTCCTACTATTGCTTGACATTTTGGGTACCTATGATAACCTCCTACTATCTGCTTGGCATCTGGGTACTAGAATTACAGTGGTAAACCAAATAGAAAAGGTTCCTGCTGTCATGGAGATTACACAACGGGAGAAGGCCAGTGAAAATGACAGTTTTTATGTAAAAGTACTAAATGTAAAATAGTGTAAGAGTTGCTATTGTGTGAGTTTTGGACATGATCAAAGGTGGCAGTGGTGGAGGTGTTAAAGTGTTTGGAGTATTAGAATGGATAGATTGTGATAGATTGACTATAGGCAGCTGGGGGGCAGAGGGGAATCAAGACTTCTAAGTTTTAGGCCTGAATAACTAGGTAATTGTTGGTACATTAGCCAAGATGGGAAACTGGGTTGAGAAACAACTAGTAAAAGGAGGCTATAGGGGGGTAATAAGTCAGAGGAGAGAGTGTAAGAGAGGAAAAGCTTTTCATTAGCCCTCTTAGAGTCTCTGTCTGGGCCTGAAAACTAAACTGACAAGGACAGATTAACATGAGAAAAGCATACAAATTTATTGAATATAAGTTTTATATGACATGGGAGCATCCTTAAGGAAATGAAGATTTGAATATGCAGTTAAACCTGAGCGTTTTTATACCAGGTTTGATGAAGTGGAAAGTTGTGGGAAAATGTGATAGGACAAAAGATTATGAGCTAAGGGTAGTAAGCTGGGGGAAACTGAGATTCTTCTTGGTGTCCCTCTGTCTTCAGAGATGAAGTTGCTCCTTTCCTCCTGGTACAGGGAGGTACCTGTCACAGGAGGGCTTTATGATCTGCTTCAGGAAAGAAGAAGGAGGTCAGAAAGACCTTCCTGCACCTGCCATTTTCAGAGAGGATGAGAGAGAGAGAGAGGTCAGTGATGCGAGAGAATCACTGATGGGCTGCCTCCTGCATGCCCTGCACCTGCCATTTTAAAATTCCTTCAGCTTAAAACATTTCTTATGTCAATGTGGCATATTTTGTAGTGCCATATCTTGATCCCCTACAAAGGAATCTTACTGACTTCAAGGCAAGTGTAATAGTGAAGACACATACCCACACACATGCATGTATTTATATATACAGAGATAAGAGTCAATCCTTATTATTTGCAGATAGCATATTTGTGAACTTGCCTACCTGCTAAATTTTATTTTTAATCCCCAAATCAGTATTTGCCGCACTTTCATAATCACTCATGGACATGCCCAACACAAATGTTTCTAGCTGTTGAACAAGATGATGTTCTGCCCTCTTGTTTCAGCCCTTCTATACTGTGAACAAACATCCTTCTTGTTATCACAATGCCACTCTTTTTTTTTTTTTTTTTTTCATTTTTGGGCTTTTTGTTGGTGATTTCTCTGAGATGGCTCCCAAGCCCTCATGTGACAGGTACCCTCCCTGTACCAGGAGGAAAGGAGCAACTTATCTCTGAAGATAGAGGGACACCAAGAAGAATCTGAGTTTCCCCCAGTTTACTACCCTTAGCTCATACTCTTCTGTATACACAAGAAGGCTGTGATGTGCCTTACAGAAAAAATACACGCGCTAGGTAAACTTCATTTAGGCATGAGTTATAGTGCTGTTAGCCCTGTCTTTAAACATTCACACACAGTTGAGAAAGTGTGACCAGATGCATGCGGGAACCTGACCTGTGTTTCCCCTCGGAGCAGTGGTTTAATCTTTGCTAATTTAGTGTATATTGTTTAATAAGCATATCTATGACTTTATAGAATATAGCTACCACAAATAGGAATGAACTAAATATGTTTTGTGTTGTTCATTTAGGCTCTGGTCTTTAAAATATATATTTTATTGCTTTTTTACAGAGAGGAAGGGAGAGGGATAGAGAGTTATAAACATCAATGAGAGAGAAACATTGATCAGCTGCCTCCTGCACACTCCCTACTGGGGATGTGCCCGCAACCAAGGCACGCGCCCCTGATCGGAATCGAACCTGGGACCCTTGAGTCCGCAGGCTAACGCTCTATCCACTGAACCAAACTGGTTAGGGCTAGGCTCTGGTCTTTTGATTGACTTTTCACAATTAGCTTTTAAATTATGATTCAGAACCAATCCCTGCCATATTTTTCTGCTAAATTTGAAGAAATTATATTTTTTATTAATTTAAATTTGGAAGTTAAAAAATCTGTTTTTGGCATATGGGACGGTGCTGCAACCAACTGAGCCACAGTGCTTAAAAATCTATTTTTTTTTTTTTTTTGAGTGCCTACATGTGGAAACAGAATTTGGAATGTTAGATAACTTGCATCACATGGGTGGTACACACATCACATGGGTAGAAGAAATCAGATCTCTGCACACACACCTAACCACCATACTAATAATTAGAACCAAACAAAACACCCAATGAAAAAAATTTTTTAAGGTAAAACATTTCAAATTTTTATTTTAAGTGGCAGGGGTAAAATATTTTTCAAACAACTGATGTTGGAGAAATAATTAAAAATATAATCTGTCAATCCAGTGAATCCTTTCTACATAAATAGAAAAAAGAAATTGTTTCATTATTGAATAAACATTCAGCCAGACTGATGTGTGCTATAGGCAGTCTGCTAAAGAGATGGCAAAGACAGAAAGAGATCTCGCCCTTTTGTACAGCCAGGCAGATGCTATCCATTACATACATGTGAATTGTCTTTATCCAAAGGGAAAAGAAAACTTTTCATAACCTTAGCCAAGCAAGAAGTTACAATTCAGAGCCTGGAGCCTTCAATAACCTCCAGCGGGACGGAGACAAGGGACAGTCCTCCCCGATGTCCACATTCAGAGAGATGGTTCCAAAGCTTTGACCGCAGGCATTACAGAGATGTAAAATTGGCAAGAGGCTTATGTAAATCTTACAAATTTACATTTTTTTAAATATAGAGAGAGGAAGGGAGGAGAGAGAAAAACATTGATGCAAGAGCGCAACATTGATCGTCACCTCCTGCACGCCCCCTACCAGGGATTGAGCTCTCAACCTGGGCTTGTGCCCTTGCCTGGGAATTGAACTGGCAACCTCCTGGTGCACAGGATGCCCAACTAACTGAGCCACAGCATCCTTCTTGTTATCACAGTTGCCACTCTTCTTTTGTGTGTGTGTGTGTGCTTTTTGTTGATTTCTCTGAGATGGCTTTTTTTTTTTTTTTTAATATATTTTATTGATTTTTCACAGAGAGGAAGGAAGAGAGATAGAAAGTTAGAAACATCGATCAGCTGCCTCCTGCACATCTCCCACTGGGGATGTGCCCGCAACCCAGGTACATGCCCTTGACCGGAATCAAACCCGGGACCCTTCAGTCCACAGGCCGACGCTCTATCCACTGAGCCAAACCGGTTTCGGCTGAGATGGCTTCTTGTTGGTGATTTACATTATTCTTAAAGAGACAGAGACAGGATTTATAGCTACAAGTTTTCCAAAGGAATTACTACAAGAGAAGGAGGGGAAAGTCTCTTTCCCTTTTAGAATCAAAGAAGATTCAGTTTTTTTTTTCCTTTAGAATTGTAGTTACCTTTCAACTAACCAGCCTTCAATATCAGAGGTGATTAATTTAACATGGGGAAACATGGACTCCTCTTACTTGAGTTAATATTATGAACAAGTTAATTATAAAATTCTGTTGCTAGGAAGTGATCAAATAGGTTTGCCATTGCAAGATAACCAAAGCACAGTTCCATTTCATTTTTCAGTGGTATTTGTATTTTGCGAGGAGGAAACAAAGTAAGAGTCTTATCACCTAGTGTTGAGATGACAGCCACTGAGGTGGTCAGTTACACCAACAAGCCAAAGTGAAATTAACAATGTAGTTATTATTCACTTACTGCAATAGTGTTATCAAGGGGTCAAAAAGAAAAAGGCTGGGCCCTCGGTGTTCCATTTTCCCAGAGAATGGCACCAGGCAATGGTCATCAATGACATGTAGAACAGATGGGAGGAAGCATCTCAGTGCCTTAGGAGCCTGGCACAAAAGACCCCTATTGTTTCATGGGCCTCGGAGGCGGCCCAGGAGTAGAAAAATAGAGTCAGACTGGAGAAAAGTGTTTCAGTTAAGGAGAAGTGAAAGTTCCCTCTCTCAGAGTCCCCCAATAAAAAGGGCTCAGAAAGGAGACACTTGGGCTAGGAATGCAGAAATGCATATGAGCATGGCCAGCCGTGAGGGGAAAGGTTAGGGGGACTGAATTCTTGACAGCACTCCCTTCAAAGATTGTGATGCACAAAGGCTGTACACCCAGTCTGGTGGGGGAAGGAGCAGCTTTACTCCATGAGGCTTTCCAGGCAGCCTGTATAATTGCCTACAGTTTGGGCCTGAAAGATAACACATAGGATTGGGGGCTGGAGCTGGACTCCCCTCCTAGAGAAACAGTTGCCTTTAGAGTTGTAACTGCTAGACTGAAGAGAACCATCCTTCTTTTCATCCTAATCATTTACAAAATCGTAGGAGTTTAGGGAAAAGGACTTAGGGAGCATACAACTTTGAGAGGCTCACATTGATACAGATGTGTTTTGTATCATTGTGGCTAAATTAGCGTGATTTTAAAAATAAAATTGGCTTTCCACTTTTCAACTCGTTCCTCATCTTCGGAATGGAATCACATGAGATCATGGGAAGGCTTCAACAGATACAGTTGAAAGCTCTGAAGTGCCTGCACACAGAAAGTTATTTTATGGAGATAACACAGCATATTTTAAGTTGGAAGTGCAGTTTTTTGGTTTTCCCAGACTCCACAAAGAAGCAGTTGCCTACATGGAATGAGTGTCTGCTAAGTACGCAAAATATCCCTTAGTCACTCTTAGGGATTTTTATGGCCTTCAGGCCCTGCTTACTGCTTTGGAAACTACAAAACAACCCTAGCATATTTCTGAGTACAGCCTATTCTGCTACAATATGGGTTTCTCAAACATTATTAACTTAATTGGAAAAAAAAAGCTTTTCCTCCTTGACTGCTTGAAGGTCAGCCACCATCATGAATGACACAGTAACTAGCTGGACCAGAAAGTTCACGACCAGTTGACTGCTTGTGCTGAAACAAATGGTCATTAATGTCCTTCACCCTGCAAGGCAATAGTACCTCAGACAGAAATTGGGGAAAAGCTAGCCAAAATGGATAAGACCACACCAGATGTTATCTTTGTATTTGGATTCAGAGCTCACTTTGGGGATGGCAAGACTACTGGCTTCGGGATGATTTATGAGTCCTTGGATTATGTAAAGAAAAATGAACTCAAACATAGACTTGTCAAACAAGGTCTCTATGAAAAGAGATGACTTCAAGAAAACAGTGAAAGGAATGCAAGAACAGAATGAAGAAAGTCGGCAACTACAAAGGCCAATGTTGGTGCTGGCAAAAAACGAGTCAAGATTCTTCAGTGACTCTCTGTGGTAATTGTGCAGATTTTTCATGAGAGGATTAGTAAACTAAGAACTTAAAAAAAAAAAAAGGCCAAAATGAGACACAACAGCATTTTTGGTGGGATAAAAAAGAATTTAATACAGATTGAGACAGAAACTCAGTGTCCCAATTACAGGGTGACAACAAGGGGTTTTTATGAGAAAAGGAAGGAAACAATTATGTGAATAGAAGTGTTAATCTAAAAAAAAAAGCCACAGTGAGTGACAAGCATTTGTTTGAAATCCAAAAGAATAGTTAATCAGGAAGCACTGATTCAGGCGGAAACCCACAGTGTTCCAATTGGGGTTAATGGCAAATTGTTTATGAGAAAGGGAAGGGGAATAATTACATGAATAGAAGGTAGGAGTTTCTATTGATGTTAGTAAGTAAAGAAAGGAATTTCTATAGGGGCACGTAAGCTAGGTTATTGTTTAGCTACATATGGTGGTGCTAATTCTAAAGAATGTCTTTAATTTTCAGTCCAGAGTGTCTGAAAATTAGCTTTCCTGTTAGCTTTAGTTGTTTGAAATACAGTGATGTTTTAGGCCTACTCCAAAGGTTGTTTTGCTCAGTTTGAACATTCCAGAGGTTTAAGGAGCAAGACTGTAAAGTTAACTAACATTTAAATTCAGATATATCGGTTTACTTGTATTCCCTCTAGAGAGCATATTGGCTTTTCTGTCTCTTGTATTCTAGATAATATGCTCTTGACTGCCTATAGGCAAAGCTGTGAAGTATGTGAATATGGAAAATAGGTGGGAAATCAACTGGAAAATGGATTATGATGTCTTTGTGCCTACTAGAGGAAAGAGACTGACTTTTTACCTAGAGTTAATCCATTAATTAAATTTATTTTTATTTTGTCATATACTCACCAGAGAGCAGAGAAGAGCAATTGAGTGAAGATCAAGGGCAATACATGTGACTGGAGTAGATAATTGTAGGATAGTAGTAAGAGATGAGGTAAGAAAGACGTCTGTAGGAATATTGGATTAGGACTAACCGCATAGAGAGATTCAGATGCTAACCCAAGGAGATTAGATTTAATTCACAAAGCAGTGGTAAGCAATTGATTGTTTTTTAGCAGGCAAATGACATGATGCATATTGCTATCTTATTTTACAGATGAGTCATGGAATCAGTTTGATGAGTCAAGGTTCAATAGGAAACTGATAGGCATACTCAAAGTTAAAGATAGTTAATTTGAAGTGGGTATAAATAGACCTGTTTTTTCAAAGGTAGGATGGAAGGAGGAATGTCTACTACAATTTGACTTCAGAAATTTTTGGAGAAGGGCAATGGTTGGCTTCTAGGTAGATACATTCATACATAGTTAGGTTTCTGGGCAAAGAGATTTCCCCAGCGTTCTAGTAGCCACCTGGAATAATGAATGTTCTCTTGGGTTTTCATGCCCTCTTGACTGGCCCATGCATCATGTTATCTGTGGAGCATGAAGAAGGAAGAACTATACTCTCTAGCTCAGTGGTTGCCAACCGGTGGTCCGTGAGGTCCAAAAGGTTGGCGACCACTGCTCTAGCTCTTGCTGATTCAGTGCCCAAACCAGTTGTCCTACCCATTGCTTCTTGCTTCCTTTCTCTGTAGCTTCCAAGCTTGGATCCCTCGGAAGCTGCTTCCATTCTTTACTGTAGTTCTTTCCTATTCTATATTGTTTGCAAGTGTTGGGGAGTGGTTAGAACTTTCTTCTTCAGTCTGATCCCTTTTGTTATCAGCAATTCCTTCTAATTTGTGGTCTATTGAGAGGACCTTCTTATTTCCAGTGACAATATGGTTTAAATTTTAAAAAATGCATGTATGCATGTGTGTGAGCACATGTACACACACACACATACATAAAATGTTATAAAGCTGTTGGGAGGGTAGCAGGATCATTGACTGAGTTTGTTATCTTAATCCAGTATGTAGGAAAGCATTTTGTATTATCTTGATGTTTTTCCCCCCTCTAGATTACAAGATTGTCTCAGTCAAAAGACTGAGGACACAGAGAAAAAAGATGACCCCCGCAAAGATAACCAGCAGCAGGCCCTAATAGACCAGAGATGCTTTCAGGTATGGAATAGCTAGCAAAGAGACTAGTGTTTGTAGTCAGCCTTGGTTTTAATTGCAATGTCATAAATTATCAGTTGGTAAGGAATATTTGTATCCGGTATTTGTTGTGCTTATCCTGTCATGTCTTGCCATGACATACGTGTTTGGCTAAAAACATCATAGTTAGCTTGACTTAGAATTTGTCTTTACCCTTAAAAGAGACTTTGGCCTAGTTCAAAGCGGGGTAGTAAAAAGTTGGTAAGATTTTAGAAAGATTTTATCCTTTGCTCTCCAACCTTAAGCCATTTCCCTTTTTATTGTTTTTGGTATTATTATTATTACTGGAGGCCTGGTGCACAAATATTTGTGCACTTGCGGGGTGGTCCCTCAGCCCGGCCTATGCCCTCTTGCAGTCTGGGACCCCTTGGGAGATGTCCACCTGCTGGCTTAGACATCCCTCTGGCAGCCCGGGAGCCCTCAGGGGATGTCCACTTGCCAGCAGGGAGCAGACCTAAGCTGCAGTCGGACAGCCTTAGTGCTGCTGAGGAGGCAGGAGAGGCTCCCACCACCACCGCTGTACTGGCAGCCATCAGCCTGGCTTGTGGCTGAGCAGAGCTCCCCCTGTGGGAGCTCAATGACCACCAGGGTGCAGCTCCTGCATTGAGCGTCTGCCCCCGGGTGGCCAGTGTGTGTCATAGTGACCAGTCATTCCCAGTCCTTCTGCTGTTAGGGTCAATTTGCATATTACCTTTTTATTATATAAGATAAGATAGAGGCCTGGTGCACAGGTGGGGGCCGGCTGGTTTGCCCTGAAGGGTGTCCTGGATCAGGGTGGGGGTCCTGCTGGGGTGCCTGGCCAGCCTGGGTGAGGGGCTGATGGGTGTTTGCAGGCTGGTCACACCCCCTTCAGGGTGGGGGGTCCCTACTGGAGTGCCTGGCCAGGCTGGGTGAGGGGCTGATGGCTGTTTGCAGGCTGGTCAAGCCCCCCAGTGGGGACCCTCACCCCATGGGGGTTTGGCCAGCCTGGGTGAGGGGCTGAGGGCTGTTTTCAGGCTGGCCACAGCCCCTTCAGGGTGGGGGGCTCTACTGGGGTGCCTGGCTAGTCTGGGTAAGGGGCTGATGGCTGTTTTCAGGCTTGCCAAGCCCCCAGGCGATGGAAGCTCCCAGCCTCTCCTTTTTTTCTTTTTTTCTTATTCTGGGGTTTATTTATCTTCTATAATTGAAACTTTGTAGCCTGGAGTGGAGCCCAGGCCCGGCCAGGGCAGGTGGGAAGTTTGGCTTCCTCCATTGCCGGGGGCAACCCAAGCCTCCTGCTCGCTCAGCTCTGTGACCACGGCAGCTGGAAGCCGGTATCTGGGATTTATTTATCTTCTATAATTGAGACTTTGTAGCCTTGAGCGGAGCTCAGGGCCGGCAAGGCAAGCGGGAAGCTTGGCTTCCTCCATTGCCTCCAAGCCTCCTGCTTGCTCCAGCTCCATGGCCACCGCCTTCTTAGTTGGGTTAATTTGCATATTTGTTCCTGATTGGCTGGTGGGCGTAGCAGAGGTATGGTCAATTTGCATATTTCTCTTTTATTAGATTAGATTACTATTATTATATAAGTAAATTTTCTTAAGGTCTTTGTATGGTTCTTTTTTTTTTTTTATTGCTTAAAGTATTACAAAGGGTATTACATATGTGTCCACTTTTTCCCCCCCACCCTAGACAATCCCCTAGCCTCCCCTATCCCCCAGTGTCTTATGTCCATTGGTTATGCTTATATGCATGCATACAAGTCCTTTGGTTGATCTCTTACCCCCTACCTCCTGCCCCCCAACCCTCCCCAGCCTTCCCGCTGCAGTTTGACAATCTGTTTGAGGCAGCTCTGCCTCTGTATCTATTATTGTTCAAAAGTTTATAATGGTCTCTATTATCCATGAATGAGTGAGATCATGTGGTATTTTTCCTTCATTGACTGGCTTATTTCACTTAGCTTAATGCTCTCCAGTTCCATCCATGCCATTGCAAATGGTAAGAGTTCCTTCCTTTTTAGAGCAGCATAGTATTCCATCTTGTAGATGTACCACAGTTTTCTAATCCATTCATCTACTGATGGGCACTTAGGCTGTTTCCAGATCTTAGCTATGGTGAATTGTGCTGCTATGAACATAGGGGTGCATATATCCTTTCTGATTGGTGTTTCTGGTTTCTTGGGATATATTCCTAGAAGTGGGATCACAGGGTCAAATGGGAGTTCCATTTTCAGTTTTTTGAGGAAACTCCATACTGTCTTCCATAGTGGCTGCACCAGTCTGCATTCCCACCAGCAGTGCACAAGTGTTCCTTTTTCTCCACATCCTCTCCAGCACTTGTCATTTGTTGATTTGTTGATGATAGCCAGTCTGACAGGTGTGAGATGGTACCTCATTGTTGTTTTGATTTGCATCTCTCAGATGATTAGTGACTTTGAGCATGTTTTCATATGTCTCTTGGCTTTCTGAATGTCCTCTTTTGAAAGGTGTCTATTTAGGTCCTTTGCCCATTTTTTGATTGGATTGTTTTTCTTCCTTTTGTTAAGTTGTATGAGTTCCCTATAAATTTTGGAGATTAGGCCCTTATCAGATATGACATTGGCAAATATGTTTTCCCACACAGTGGGTTTTCTCGTTGTTTTGCTGATGGTTTCTTTTGCTGTGCAGAAGCTTTTTATTTTGATGTAGTCCCATTTGTTCATTTTCTCTTTAGTTTCAAGTGCCCTAGGAGCTGTATCAGTGAAGAAATTGCTTTGGCATATGTCTGAGATTTTGTTGCCTTTGGATTCTTCTAGAATTTTTATGGTTTCCTGTCGTACATTTAAGTCCTTTATCCATTTTGAGTTTATTTTTGTGTATGGTGTAAGTTGGTGGTCTAGTTTCATTTTCTTGCATATATCTGTCCAATTTTCCCAACACCATTTATTGAAGAGACTATCTTGGCTCTATTGTATGTTCTTGCCTCCTTTGTCAAATATTAATTGAGCATATTGGTTTGGGCCGATTTCTGGGCTCTCTATTCTATTCCATTGATCTATATGCCTATTCTTGTGCCAGTACCAGGCAGTTTTGAGAACAGTGGCTTTGTAATACATCTTGATATCTGGTATTGAGATCCCACCTACTTTGTTCTTTTTCAGGATTGCTGCAGCTATTCGGGGTCTTTTTTTATTCCAGATGAATTTTTGGAGCGTTCGTTCTAAATCTATGAAGTATGCCGTTGGTATTTTAATGGGAAGTGCGTTGAATTTATAGATTGCTTTGGGTAGTATGGACATTTTAATGATGTTGATTCTACCAATCCATGAACACGGTATGTTCTTCCATCTGTTTATGTCTTCCTCTATATCTTTTTTCAACGTCCTGTAGTTTTCTGAGTAGAGGTCTTTTACCTCTTTAGTTAAGTTTATTCCTAGGTAGCTTAATTTTTTTGGTGCGATGGTAAACGGGATTGTTTTTATAATCTCTCTTTCTGAAAGTTCACTATTGGTGTATAGAAATGCCTCAGATTTCTTGGGGTTAATTTTGTATCCTGCTACATTGCAAAATTTATGTATTAAGACTAGTAGCTTTTTGATGGAGTCTCTAGGGTTTTGTATGTATAATATCATGTCATCTGCAAATAAGGACAGTTTTACTTCCTCTTTTCCAATTTGTATGCCTTTTATTTCTTCTTCTTGCCTAATTGCAATGGCTAACACTTCCAGTACTATGTTGAACAGGAGTGGTGAGAGGGGGCATCCCTGTCTTGTTCCTGTTCTTAGGGGAAATGGTGTTAGTTTTTGTCCATTGAGTATGATGTTGGCTGTGGGCCTGTCATATATGGCTTTTATTATGTTGAGGTATGGTCCTTCTACTCCTGCCTTACTGAGAGTTTTTATCAAAAATGGGTGTTGAATTTTGTCAAATGCTTTTTCTGCATCAATTGATATGACCATGTGGTTTTTTTCTTTCAATTTGTTTATGTGATGTATCACGTTTATTGATTTGCGGATATTGTACCATCCTTGCATCCCTGGGATAAATCCTACTTGGTCATGGTGTATGATCTTTCTGATGTACTGCTGGATCCGATTTGCTAAGATTTTGTTGAGGATTTTGGCATCTATGTTCATGAGGGATATTGGCCTGTAATTCTCTTTCATTGTGTTGTCTTTACCTGGTTTTGGTATTAGGGTGATGCTGGCTTCATAGAATGAGCTTGGAAGTGTTCCTTCCTCTTAAATTTTTTGTAGTAGTCTGAAGAGGATAGGTTTTAGTTCTTCCTTGAATGTTTGGTAAAACTCCCCTGTGAAGCCATCTGGTCCTGGGCTTTTGTTTGCTGGAAGCTTTTTGATGACTGCTTCAATTTCTTCCATAGTTATTGGCCTGTTGAGATTTTTAGATTCTTCCTGATTGAGTTTTGGAATGTTGTATTTTTCTAGGAATTTGTCCATTTCCTCCAAGTTGTCTAGTTTGTTGGAGTAGAGCTGTCCATAGTATTTTTGAACAATCATTTGTATTTCTGTGGGGTCTGTTGTTATTTCGCCTCTATCGTTTCTGATTTTGTTTATTTGGGTCCTCTCTCTTTGCTTCTTGGTGAGTCTGGCTAGAGGTTTGTCAATCTTGTTTATCCTTTCAAAGAATGTATGGTTCTTTTTTTTAATATATTGATATTTTACAGAGAGGAAGGGAGAGGGATAAAAAGTTAGAAACATCGATGAGAGAGAAATCAATAAGCTGCCTTCTGCACACCCCCTACTGGGGATGTACCCGCAAACAAGGTACATGCCCTTGACCAGAATCGAACCTGGGACCCTTCAGTCCGCAGGCCGATGCTCTACCCACTGAGCCAAACCAGTTAGGGCTGTATGGTTCTTTTTTTAAATTTAGATATTTAGTTCACCTGAAATTTAATGTTCTATGCGGTGTGATATAGAGATCTTACCTTACTGATTTTATAGAATAGGTAGATGAGCATTTATTGACTAGATGTGTAGTTAAGCCTGATTATTTACTGACTTAACTGGGCCTGCATTTTTATTTTATTGGCCCTACACAGAGTTTTAAAAAATTTTAAATTAATTACTGATATTTCTTAAATTAAGGGATTTTGCTTATTAACTTATTTGTAGCTTCTCTTAAAAAGTGAATCTGGCAGCCTGGCTAGTGTGGCTCAGTTGGTTGGAGCGTTGTCCTAGGTATCAAAGAGTCATGGGTTCGATTCCGGTCAGGGCACGTACCAAGGTTGTGGGTTCGAATCTTGGTCATGGTACATATGGAGGCAACTGAGCAATGTCGCTATGTCTGCCTCTGTCAGTCTCTCTTTCTCCCTTACTCCCCTCCTTCTCTCTCCTATGAACTTCTGAAGCTCAGCTAGCATTAGTTCCCTGGTCTCTTTTAGGAGTGCTATTGCCCTCCTTTTGGTCTGAGGCAGGAAGAGAAGGACTATGTGGATTCTAATAGGTCATAACTACTTTCAAGTCTACATCATTTAAAAAGACATTTTAGTTTTTTTGTGAAGTTTATGGTTCTCATTAGAACTTATGTTTAATCATGTTGATGAAACTATTGTACTTCCAAAACATTACAAGCGTCAGTCTTATTAAAGATCTTGCTCTCATTGATAATTTAGTGGAGGGAAATATTTTCCCATTAAAATTGTAGTAAAATAATTTAAATATAATAGAAGTGACATACTGAAATGCACTAAAATAAGCAATAAAACAAACTGCTTGTAAATAAGCATCAGAAGCCAAATTCTTAAGAGACCTGTAGCTTTTATGGGGAGAAAAGAAAAATAGCAAAGCATTTTTCACTCACTAGTTCTGTCACTCCTTTAAAATATATTAATCTTGGTAAATCCTGTCCAATGAATCGCTAACATTTTCTTAGTCTAGTCACTATCCAGGATCAGTTTGATCACCTTTTAGCAAGACCTGCATGATGCTTTTTAGGATTTCTCTTTAGAATGTGTTGGGCTTTGTAATTCATTGTCTTTACTCGGAACTTCAGCTGAAGCTGTGAAACATCATGAACTGCTCCCATTTAATATCCAAATTAGCTTAAATATGAGAAGATAGGAATAGGGAAATGTGGAACTCTAGCTAAGGATATCTGGATGACGATTCTTCTCTATGTGGATTAAAATAGGTCATAACTACATAACTACTTTCAAGTCTACATCAGTTAAAAATACATTTTAGTTTTTTTGTGAAATCTGTGGTTCTTATTAGAACTTATGTGTAATCATGTTGATGAAACTATTGTACTTTCGAATATTACAAGTGTCAGTCTTATTAAAGACCTTCTTAATGACCGCCTCAAATGAAATTTGAAAATGATGTTACATTGACTTATAAAGCACTCCTTTTACTTATGTCACTTTTAAAGGATTATGGTAAAAATTTCAACTAAAAACAGCCTTTTTTTTAAAGGTACTGAGTAGCATCAATTCAATTATTCACAATCCAAGAGCTCCAGTAATACTTTATAAACAGAGCAAAGGAGGAGTCCAACATTTTAATAAAAATTTTGATCAAGATTGTGGATTTGAGCATCTTGTTCCTATCCTAGAAATGTGGGCAGATCAACTGACTTCCCTGAAGGTAAGGGGTTGTATAGTCTTTACATGCTTAGAAAATCTGTTGGAGTTGTTAATAGGCTTTATTAATAGGCTAGGCGTAATTTGTTTTGTTTGATTGTAAAGCTGAAACAGCTTATCTTATTAAATGTTAATCTTGCTACTTTCATATCCATTGTAAGTACTGCCTGCTTGATGTTGTCATTACTATAAGTTGCCTCCTATAAGGTTCTACCAAACAAGACATTTTTTAGGCTCATTGCCTTGTTGGAAATCTATAGTAGATCCACTTTGACTTCTAGGTGCTTCCCTGTTCTACCTTCATCTCCCTCTTTTTGGTATCCCCATGGTACAGATTTTCCTGGCCCTTAATCCTCTTTAAATGTAATGTCTTATTCTTCATTCCATTTTAATTGGGAATGTTTCTTTTCTCTTCATATTTAAAATTATTATTTTTTCTTTTAAAGTTTATCTCCATGTCTGTCTATTTTGTGGAGCAGATTTTGGTCAGATAGCTAGCCAATACTGCTATTACTTATTCTTTTTATCCATGGAAGATGAAATTTTCTTCACTTTAGAGAGTTGTATATTTTTGTTTGTTTTTGTGTTTTTTTAAAAATATATATTTTATTGATTTTTTTTTACAGAGAGGAAGGGAGAGGGATAGAGAGTTAGAAACATCGATGAGAGAGAAACATGGATCAGCTGCCTCCTGCACACCCCCTACTGGGGGGATGTGCCCGCAACCAAGGTACATGCCCTTGACCGGAATCAAACCTGGGACCCTTCAGTCCGCAGGCCGACGCTCTATCCACTGAGCCAAACTGGTCAGGGCAAGAGTTGTATATTTTTTATTAACTTCAGGTTTTTCCAGTTTTTGTTGAGTAGCTCATTGAAAGGTGAATTGCTAAAGTCATAGTATTTAATTTCTGTACCCTTTAAATTTTTATTTTTTTAATTATATAGATATATATTTTAATATATTTTTTTATTAATTTCAGAGAGGAAGGGAGAGGGAGAGAGAGATAGAAACATCAATGAGAGAATCATTGATTGGCTGCCTCCTGCACACCCCCCACTGGGGATTGAGCCTGCAACCAAAGTATGTGCCCTTGACTGGAATTGAACCTGGGACCCTTCAGTCCACGGGCCAATGCTTTATCCACTGAGCCAAACCAGTTAGGGCTGTACCCTTTAAATTTTAGATTTTTCAATAACTAATACATATATAGCATTCCTCTGTTCATGAAGGTGTGATTCAGTAATAGTATTTGTCAGTAGAAGCCTTATCACAGGAAGTAAAAGGGTGCAGAAGATACGAGTAAGAATGTATAAGCTCCAGGGGTTTTGTCTTTGTCCTCTGACGTGTTCCAAGGAATCTCCTGATATATAATAAATGCTCAATATTTGTCAAAAGAATAAAGCAGAATAACACATTCCAAGGCAACAAAATAGAGAAGATAGTACTGAATTTTAAAAGTTTTTAATGAAAACACACCTGTAACTGATGAACGAATCTTCACATTTCATCCTAATTTTTTCTTCCCATTTTAAATAGGGCTCAGTAGAGCTATAAAATAAGGAAAATTTTTTTTTTTTTTTTTTAAATATATTTTTTTTATTGATTTTTTACAGAGAGGAAGGGAGAGGGATAGAGAGCTAGAAACATCGATGAGAGAGAAACATCGACCAGCTGCCTCCTGCACACCTCCCACTGGGGATGTGCCCGCAACCAAGGTACATGCCCTTGACCGGAATCGAACCTGGGACCCTTCAGTCCGCAGGCCGACGCTCCATCCACCGAGCCAAACCGGTTTTGGCAAAATAAGGAAAATTTTTAACTGAGTGACAGTGTTGGATTAATATACCTATTTTATAGGCTTGAGTTCCTCCAGTTTATATCTTAGCAGAGAGTGAAATAATTGTGATTACTTATGTAAATCATGGCATTTTCCAAATTATTGCTTGTCAGGGGATTCTTCCGGTAGTAGAAAATAGTGCTGACTTCAATTTACTCCTTCTCAGGGCAGATGGGCTAAAAAATGCCCCAGCCTTCCCAAGACAAGGGAAAGATTAGAAGAGAAAGGAGGCAAAGGAAGAATCAAAGAAATGGATAGTTACTGGTTATTTACCGTGTTCATTGTGGGAGGTATCAGAGAATGTGAACACAGGTTCAGATTAAGAGAGAGAAAACATGCTAAAATATATGAAATAAAATTTACCATAGGAAGAAATGAAAACAGATAGGCCATGAAGTGCCAAGTTGAATGATGCAAATAATTTGTACTCCAAATTCTGGAGGAGGAAGGAGCTCCCAGGAAAAGCTTTACAGTGGTGGTGAGTTCTTGCTACTGTATGTTTTTCCCACTAGAAGGAGACAAGGAGAATTAGTTTTATAATTAGAATATCCTGAGGAACCCCCAACAGGAATTTAGTGACCTTGCCACTGAAGTAACTCAGAGATTTGGGGCCGTGTGTCAGGTATTTACCTTATACTGCAGAATCGGGATCCAAATTGAGGAAGTACATGAGGTTCTTTGAGGTCTCCTCATATGAAAGGTTTTCTATACTGTAGCAGCCTCTCAGTTTGGAACAGCCATTTTCCCAACTTAGTTTATTTCTCAAGTTAGATTTGGCGTAAAAGAGAAGGATAGAAAAAGCGTGGAGCTAGCTAGCTAGCTGTCTCCTTCCTTCCGTCTTTCCACCACCCACATTTCCCGGAAAGTTGGGCTACAGACTCTGTAGCTTTCCCAGCCCAATGCTGTGGTGTGCTGTAGCTTTCCCATCCCCTAGTGCTCCAGAGGCCAGTCATCCAAAGTCAGCCATGACCTGTACTTCTACACCCCTTAGCTGAGCAGTGTGGAGAATCTAGAAGACCCTCTTTTAGGTTTTTCAGGGCTTGCTTGAGAAACACATCGATCAGCTGCCTCCTGCACACTCCCTACTGGGGATGTGCCTGCAACCAAGGTACATGCCCTTGACCAGAATCGAACCTAGGACCCTTGAGTCCACAGGCCAACGCTCTATCCACTGAGCCAAACTGGTTAGGACTAAATCCTGATTTTTAAAAAGACATTGACACATAATTATATTTTATTAGTATTTTTATGGAAACTTATTTTTAAACCAACAAAATCTTGTTATTTCTTTTGTTATAAAGGATTTGTATAAGTCCTTGAAAACACTATCTGCAGAATTGGTGCCTTGGCATAATTTAAAGAAGCAGGATGAAAAGGAAGGTATCAGAGTTGAAGATCTATTGTTTATAGTAGATACCATGTTGGAAGAAGTTGAAAATAAGGAAAAGGTAATACTTAATACTTATGAAAATGTTTATATTTTAACTAGAGGTTCAGTGCACAAATTTTGTGCACTGGTGTGTGTGTGTGTGTGTGTGTGTGTGTGCGCGCACGCGCGGGGGAGGGTCCCTCAGCCTGGCCTGCGCCCTCTTGCAGTCTGGGAGTGGGCCTAAGCCAGCAGTTGGACATCCTTAGTGCTGCCACGAGGCAGGAAAGGCTCCTGCCACCACCACTGCGCTCGCCAGCCTTGAGCCCGGCTAGGGGCAGCTCCTGCGTTGAGCGTCTTCCCCCTGGCAGTCAGTGTGTGTAATAGTGACCGGTCATTGCACAGTTTGGTCAATTTGCATTATTAGCCTTTTATTATATAGATTATATAGGATGTAATCTTAACTTAAAATTGGTAACAATATGGATATTGATAGTCTACTAGGACTTTATTTCTCTTTTTAAAGTTTTTATTATTTTTTTAAAGATTTGGGATTATTTTTAACATGTGAACTTCCTTTTTCTCCCTCTTTTGGACAGGACAGGAACAAACCAAACTTTAAAACTTTGCAAGCTATTGTTTCTCATTTCCAAAAATTATTTGATGTGCCTTCTTTAAATGGAGTCTATCCCCGAATGAATGAAGTTTATACTAGGCTTGGAGAACTGAACAGTGCTGTGAGAAACCTCCAAGAACTCTTAGAATTAGGTGATGACCCTTAGTCATTTTGGGCCCCCATTTAAGAATTATTCCTAACAAATCAACAAAAAGTAGGTAAAAAAATTTAAAGTAAAAAAATTCACGATAAGTGAAGGATAATTAAGGATAATTGGTTTGATAATGATTTTGAGAATTCTCTTTTAAAAATACCTTATTATTTTATTTTATTTTATTGTTTAAAGTATTACAAATAGTAGTACCTGTGTCTCTTTTTTCTCCATTGACCCCCCCCCCCCCCCCCGGCACATGCCCTCCCCCTCCTTCCCCCAGTGTCTTGTGTCCATTGGTTATGCTTATATGCATGCATGCAAGCCCTTCAGTTTATCTCTTATCCGCCCCCCCCCCCCGCCCAACCCTCCCCTGCCTTCCTGCAATAGTTTAACAGTCTGTTTGATGCTTCTTTGCCTCTGTATCTATTTTTGTTCACCAGTTTATAATGTTCTTTATATTCCACAAATGAGTGAGATCATGTGGTATTTATCTTTCACTGACTGGCTTATTTTGCTTAGCGTAATGCTCTCCAATTCCATCCATGCTGTTGAAAATAGTAAGAATTCCTTCTTTTTTACAGCAGCGTAGTAGTCCATTGTGTAGATGTACCACAGTTTTCTAATTCAGTCATCAGCTGATGGGCATTTAGACTGTTTCCTAATCTTAGCTTAAAATACCTTATTCTTTTATTTTTTTGCAGATAGTTCATCCTCATTGTGTGTGCTGGTAAGCACAGTTGGAAAATTGTGTAGGATGATTAATGAGGATATGAATGAACAGGTTATGCAGGTATTGGGACCTGAGGACCTCCAAAGGTATTTATTTTAAAAAGCTTGCAAAATATCATTCAGAATCATTAGAGTGGTGAAATTAAAGACTCTCACAACTTTTTAAGTTCTTTACCTTTCCTGTTTGGAATAGCATCCTTTAAATAACTTGACAATCTAAAATAATCTCACACCTTAGGGATGGAGAGAATGCCTAGTATTTTCAAGATAAAAATAGATTGTAGAGCCTATAGCAGTGATGGTGAACCTCTTGAGCTTGGCGTGTCAGCATTTGAAAAACCCTAACTTAACTGTGGTGCTGTGTCACATATAGAAATTTTTTGATATTTGCAGCCATAGTAAAACAAAGACGTATATTTTTGATATTTATTTTATATATTTAAATGCCATTTAACAAAGAAAAATCAACCAAAAAAATGAGTTCGCGTGTCACCTCTGACACGCGTGTCATAGATTCACCATCACTGGCCTATAGGCTTACAAAAGGTGTATATGTTTACATAATCTAGCATTATTGCTATAAGCCTGTTTCCAGGGGAAATTATATGTGGAGAAATTCAAACCTTGTTAGCAACTTCATGTGAGTTTAGAATATATAAACAAGTTCTATTTTTAGTACACTGCATATTTGATTAGAAGATAAAATGTTAAGTTTTTTGGTTTTTTAAAATTTTATTGATTTTTTACAGAGAGAAAGGGAGAGGGATAGAGAGTTAGAAACATTGATGAGAGAGAAATATCAATTCAGCTGCCTCCTGCACACTCCCTACTGGTGATGTGCCCGCAACCAAGGTATATGCCCTTGACCGGAATTGAACCTGGGACCCTTCAGTCCGCACACCGACACTCTATCCACTGAGCCAAACCAGTTAGGGCAAGGATTTTTTTTTTTTTTTGATTTTTTTTAAAACTAGGCATCTCTATTATAAAATCTTTCCTCCCCACCCCCCACACAAATTTTATATTATAACATATCGGAATGGAAACACACACTATTCCATATGTTCTATAAATTTTCTAAGAAGAACCTTTTCCTAACCTGACACTTTAGTTTTCTGATTCTTGATGCTTTTATTTTTAAATATATTTTTATTGATTTCATAGAGGAAGGGAAAGGGAGAGACAGAAACATCAATGATGAGAGTGAATCACTGATAGGCTGCCTCCTGCATGTCCCCCACCAGGGACCTGGACCAAGCCCACAACCAAGGCTTGTGCCCTGACCAGGAATCGAACCATGATCTCCTGGTTCGTAGGACAACACTCAACCACTGAGCCACACTGGCTAGCCTACTTGATGCTTTTAAAAGGATCATTTATCTCACTACTGATCTTTTTCCCCTTCCCACCATTTTACTGGCTACTAATACTTCATGTTTAAGAGAATACTGGCTATAAAAGCCAATTATTATTTTTTTTTAAATATATTTTATTGATTTTTTACAGAGAAGAAGGGAGAGGGATAGTTAGAAACATTGATGAGAGCCCTAACCGGTTTGGCTCAGTGGATAGAGCATCGACCTGCAGACTAAAAGGTCCCAGGTTTGATTCCGGTCAAGGGCATGTACATTGGTTGCGGGAACATCCCCAGTAGGGGGTGTGCAGGAGGCAGCTGATCAATGTTTCTCTCTCATCGATGTTTCTAACTCTCTATTCCTCTCCCTTCCTCTCTGTAAAAAATCAATAAAATATATTAAAAAAGAAACATCGATGAGAGAGAAATATCGATCAGCTGCCTCCTGCACACTCCCCACCAGGGTTGTGTTTGCAACCAAGGTACATGCCCTTGACTGGAATCGAACCTGGGACCCTTGAGTCCGCAGACCGACGCTCTATCCACTGAGCCAAACCGGTTAGGGCAAGGCCAATTATTTTTTAATATATTATAGAACATGGTCTCTTAAGAATCCTTGAGCTACATGGTAGGGAAACTTTATATGAATTTACCTAAATTTAACCTTAGAACAGATATTTACACTGATAATAAGATATATATATTTTAGAAAAGTGATGTTTGATGAACAAAGAGCTCAAAAGAAATTATTACAGTAAATTATTAAATTTATATTTAAGTTAGCAGGACAATTTCTATTTTGAAAATGTTCTATATGCAATCAGATGCAAGAACTTTAAGTTGGAAATTCAGCGTAAACTGCGTGTTGTTGTTTTTTTGTTTTTTTTTAAGCATTATCATCAAATTGCAAGAACACGAGGAATTTTTTCCAGCGTTTCAGGCATTCACTAATGATCTACTTGAAATCTTAGGTAAGATCTCTGTTAGTGGTGTTTAAATTTCAAGTCTGAAGATGTCAGTGGGTTTGAGCGAAGATCGTTCTCCTTAGTCACTGAATTAGTGTTTTCACCTAGAGTGTTTGGTAGAAAGTGTCTGGAAACCATGAGTAGTTCTGCAAAAACACTCTTAGCTTTCAGTTAGAGGTATTTGGGATTAGTCTACAGAACAGAGAAGCACATATCCTTTAAGGAGTAAGGGGCTGCCTTTGTCCAGGGACCTTAAGATGAGAAGTGACAATTTACTCTGGCTAGGTCCTGACGCTGTGATAGAATTTATGACCTTGGGTAGTGTTTTTTCTCTTCCTCCTCCTCCTCTTGCTCCTTTTAGAAGATAGTACTTATCTACTGTGTTTTTTAAATATACAAATGATTCCTGGCCAGTGTGGCTCAGTTGGGTGGAGCAGTGTCCCATCCACCAAAAGGTGGTAGGTTTGATTTCTTGTCAGGGCACATACTCAGGTTGTGGGTTTGATCCCCAGTATAGAATAATATGATTTTACTTGCTTCTGCATAGTTAACTTAAATAGTGAAGTTCTCATTATTAATAAATATTTTAATGGATGTACTGGTAACACTTATTTTAGAATCCTTCTATACAAACTTCCTCTCAGATGTTATCAGCATGGTTCATGTGAGATCCATGATCCATGGTTCATGTGAGAAGCCAAGTCTCCCTGCAGGTGAAGTCTGCATTTTAGTCACAGTTGGAATTCTGGAGTTAAATATATATAACATTGGGAAAGTTAAATCTGTTTTGGCAAGCATGACTTTTTTATTACTAGATGTTATATTAAGCATCTAGTCCTACAGAGTGATGTACTGAATATCCGGTATGGAGAAGGACTTTCTTCCTTTCATATAATCTGAGAAAATTTTCGTATCAGCCAAGATTCTTCTCTGTGAGGTTCGTTTATCAGGTAGATTTCCCATTTAGTGAGAAAATATGTGCGATTTCAGAATGGGGTTAGATAATAGCGTGCTCTTATACTTTACCAGGATGTAATGTGTGAACCAAATTCTATGTTGTAAATTTGCTTATATTTTTTCCTTTCTTATATCTCGATGCTTTGTAAGTGGATGCAGATAAGTATTCTGACTGAAGTCAGAAGCTTAAGAAACATGGGTCATGTGTTTAGGCAAAAGGAAGAACAACCCAAATCCAGCTAAACATTGAAGGAGAAAGGTGGAAACTAAGGAAGCATGTTTTATGTAAGGTTTATGAACAGTGGCCTAGCAGAATAATCTAGAAAAAGTGGTGAGAATCTAGAGAACCTGCCACTGGGGCTTACTTTAAGTAGGGTTGGAGTTTATTTTTTTAATTTTTTGTTGTTAATTCTCAGTTGAGGATATTTTTCCATTGATTTTTAGAGAGAGTGGAAGGGAGAGGGAGAGACAGAGAGAAACATCGATGTGAGAGAGACACATCAATTGGCTGCTGCCTGCATATACCTCAATCAGGGAACCTGTAACCAAGGTACGTGCCCTGGACTGAATCGAACCTTGGACCTCAGTCCACAGGCTGACACTCTACCCACTGAGCCAGACCAGGTAGGGCATGGAGTTTAGATAATCAGAGAAAGGACTGTGCTTCCTCAGTAGCCAGGAGATTTCAGACAGAGTCTGATTTAGGCTGATTGGGAAAAGATCGTTTTAGGAAGAAAAATCAGATTCAGAAAGAAGCTGGTGGAGAAAAACCTGAACTGATTTATCTGGGAAGCTGGAGCAGGCTAACCTCTATAATACATTGCATCTGATATTTGTACTTTGGGAAGCTTCACATCTTTTATTAGATAGATAGGTTTCATCCTAAAAAGTATACTTAAGAGCGATCCTAATGAGAAATTTTTCCAAAAGAATTAAGGATAGGACTATGTTTCATGCAAAGAAATCCTTAGGGACCCAGGAGAGAGATGGCCTCTACCTGGGATTTCACCATGTAGGCTGACTCACGTAATTGTACAGACTTAAAGAGGCAGTAACATAATATCATAAATGTGACCAGAAAGATCTATTAATAAAAGCATACTGCTAATGAATTTAATATCAAAGTCAGTGAATGCTTGTCGGCATGTGGTAGCTTTTACAAACAAGATGCCCCGTGAAGCATCTGTGTCTGAATTATTGATAACTCTTATCACTATTGGAGAAAAATGTCATGTACATGAAAGCACCAGTGTTGTTGCTTTTGTGTTTGAGGTTTGCTTTTGCATAGAAATTCTCATTTCATCTGAGCCTATCACTAGACAGTGCTACTCTTTTATTATTACTGTGTGTTTTTTATTACAGAAATTGATAACTTGGATGCCATTGTACCTGCAGTAAAGAAATTAAAAGTACTTTCATACTGAAAACAAATCATTTTTACTGTGTAAATTGCATTCTTAACATTCTAATTATTTTGTACAATTGAACTTACCATTGAGACAAGAGTTATAAAAAGTGTTTACTTTCAGAATTCATCCCCTTTGTATTGGGTTCTCACTCATATTTTTTTTAACTTTGAGATTCTTATGTAGAAAACAGTTAAGTTAAAGTAGTCAGTTAACTTTAGACCCTTTAATCATTTCTTAAGCAATTCTTGAGTGCTTAAAATTTAAGATTGATTTAAAGTATAGTGTGTAAGTACAAGAGAAACTCAGGGAGAGATTGAAAATAATAGAAAGGTCACATTTAAGTTCAGGATTTAGTGACCTTTCTGGCTCTGGGAACAAGGAATGCCGATGGCTCTCTTAAGTCCAGTAGGAAGATATTGCTTTCCTGGCAAGAAAATGGCACCTTCTATTAAGATATCCCTCATGGCACTTATCCTTTCAAAGCAAGAGTAAGAAAAGGAAGGAGGAGGAAATGTGTTAGGGTAGGAAATGAATTACGAGGTAACATAGATGAGTAGATAAAACTTTCTCATAAAAAAGTGTCTTTTTTTTTTGCAATCTTGATGTAATGTACTTTTTATAAGGGCATGAGATCTTAAATAAAATTTTTATGAAGAATTTTCAAACATAAGCGTCCTCAGTGACTTACTTGTATCACTCACGAATAATGAGTCATATTCTCTTACTAGGCTGAGCCTTCCTTGGGCAGCAGGTTCACCCTTGGCTGTCATCTACTTATTCTTTATTTTCAATATTCAAGTCTTTATTTTCTTAAAGGACTAGTGTTCTGCCTCACATTTACGAGTATAAGCAACTTTGAGTTACTGCTGCTTCCCCCCTACCACAGCCCTGTGTCCCCTCCCCCCTCACTTTCATAAGTAGTAGTCCTAGGAAGAGTTCTTAGTTATTCTTGTTTGTGGTTGTGTAGAATATTATAAAGAATTTCCAGGAAGCAGCAGGCTGGAGTGGAGAGAGTAATGTCAGTAGATAAGCATGCAGGTCCTTGGTGTTGTGACCTTAGGGATTAGACATAGTTCTTTCTAGATTTAAAATTGTTTTGTTAGCCTGCAATTACATTTCCAAACACTAGCCCACAATTTGTGAAAGAACCTGTATCTGAGGGTTGGATAGAAAAAATATTTGGGACCTGGCCAGTGTAGCTCACTTGGTTGGAGTGTTATCCTATACCGCTGGCTTAAAACAAAGGTTTTTCGGACTCTTCTTCAGAGGCCTAGGAATTTTTTTGGAGGGCTGAGAGGGACAATGCCACTAGTAAAAATGTTAAGTCCTCTTTATCAGATAATTAGTTAAAATATAAGTAAAGTTCTGCAAATATTTAGCTCTTGATTTTCTTACAATTTTATTGATGTATAATTGACCTATGAATTATACATAAAGTATATAGTTTGATAAGTTCTTATACACCTGTGAAACCATCACCACATTCAAAATAATAAACATACCATCACTCCAAAAGTTATTTCTTTGTCCTGGTAACAAATAATCTGCTTTTAGTCATTATAGTTTGCATTTGATAGGATTTTATGTAAATAGAGTCATACAATGTGTTCTCTTCTTTTTTTTTTTTAAGGGAAAATATTTTTTTTTAATATATTTTATTGATTTTTTTACAGAGAGGAAGGGAGAGGAATAGAGAGTTAGAAACATCGATCAGCTGCCTCCACACTCCCTACTGGGTATGTGCCCGCAACCAAGGTACATGCCCTTAACTGGAATCGAACCTGGGCCCTTTGAGTCCGCAGGCCGACGCTCTATCCACTGAGCCAAACCGGTTAGGGCTGTGTTCTCTTCTTTTGTATTCTCACTTGAAATAATTATTTTGAGATTTTTGCATGTTGTTGCATTTATTAAGTTTGTTCCTTTTTATTGCTGTGCAGTATTTCACTGTCCGAATAGACCATAATTTGTCCACTCATTTGTTGTTGGAAATCTGGGTTATTTCCAGTTTTTTACTATTTCTACAAATAAAACTCCTATGAATATTCATGTTCAGGTCTTTTTGTGGACACATACCTGATATTCAGTGTCTTGAAAACTATTGTTTTCATGTATTTTGTCTTTTTGTTATTTTGATTTTGGTTGGTATAGGTGGAAGGGTAAATTTGGTTTCTGTTAGTCCATCCTGGTTAAAAGTGGAAGTTTAGAAGAAAATAATTCAGGGTTGTCTATTTTTTTTTAATTTTATTGCATTGTAGTCAGAGAACATGGTCTTTTGGATATTAAGTATTTGGAAATTTGTTGACTATGTGATAAATTATATACCTGTTCTACATGTGCTTTAAAAAAGTCTAATTTCATATACACACACATATATAGCTTCTATGTTGTTTAAATCTACTTTTGTCTGCTTGACTTGTTAGTTTATGTGCGATACTAAAATCTCTGAATTTTTCAAAAATTTTTTTTTTTATTCCTTAAAGTATTACAAAGGGTATTACATATGTGTCCTCCCCCACCCCCCCAGACAATCCCCTGGCCTCCCCTACCCCCCAGTGTCTTATGTCCATTGGTCATGCTTATATGCATGCATACAAGTCCTTCAGTTGATCTCTTACCCCCCTCCCTCCTGCCCTCCAACCCTCCCCGGCCTTCCCACCGCAGTTTGACAATCTGTTTGAGGCAGCTCTGCCTCTGTATCTTGAATTTTTCAAATTTTGTTTTATATATTTTGAATCCATTTTATATTTACAAATTCATAGTTGATAATATCCTTTTGATTAATATCTCTATTTATTGCTCCTAATGCATTTTGCCTTGAATGCAATCTTGTCCTTTTAATTAATAGTTGCTGGATATTCTTTTTCATTTATTTCACTCTTTTATTTATTGTAAAATATATGTTAAAAATGCTAAAAACCATAAATGTCAAGTATAACAAATGATTATAAAGTGAACACCATGCAACAACTAAGAAGTAGAACATCACAAGCACTCCAAAAGGCCTCCCCACCCACCATTAGAGGTAAGGAAGTGTTTATTTTGTAAAAATAGTTTGGTCATTTTTGTGTGTATGCCTAAACCAAGGTAGTTGAATTTTGCCTGTTTTTGAACTTTATAAAAATGGAATCATATGTGTATTTTTAACATTTCTTATTTTGGTCAGTACTATGTTTTTACTGTACATCCATGTTGTTGTGTAAGTCTAGGCCATTTGTTTTCATTGCTGTCTAGTATTCCTCTATGAATATTCTACAATCCATTTGTTCTACTGGAGATTGATATTTAGGTTGTTTCTAGTTCTTAGCTACTATGAACTGCCACTATGAAAGTTCTTGTACATGGAACTTTGTACACTTGTGTGCAAGTTTTCTAGAATCAATATCCAAGAAGTAAAACTGCTGGATCTTAGGGGGAAACACTTCTATATGTAGCCACAGAGGCTGTGTACTGTACAATGGAGGTAGTACCATTTCTATAGGTAACAATGTGAATGGAGCCTCTGGGATGATAGTGTGGCTACTTTTAATAGGGACTGTATATCAACAGTTTTAGAAGAAAACGCCAAGCTATTTTCCAAAGTTGTTGCACCAGTTTATACTCCCAACATCTGTAAAGGAGTTCCTACTTTTCCATATCCTAACCAATACCAAGTAAATCAGTTTTTAAACTTTTTTTCCCAGACTAGTGTATAGAGCTGTTATTTTAATGTTTATTTCTGTTGTTACTAATAAAGGTAAACATCTTTTTATTTGGTTATTGGCCATTTATATTTCTTTTTTTAAGTGCATTTATGTATCTTTATTTTTCTGTTGGACTGTCTTTCTATTGGTTTGTAAGAATTATTTGTATATTCTGGACATGAGCGATTTGACAGTTATATGTGTTACAAATGTTTTCTTCCATTTTGTGTCTTTCCATTTTCCTATAGTTTCTTTTTATGAACTGCAGAATCTAATTTTGATAGTTATAGTTAGTGCTCTTCATGTCTTAGGAAATCTTTCCATAGTCACAAGTTGTAATGTTATTTTCCTATATTATCTTATAGCTATATAGTTTTGCCTTTCACATTTAGTCTAATATACCCCAAGTTGTTTGACTTGTGTATGTTTTTAAACAATCAAGACTTACTGAGGGTTACCAACATATTTTGCAGATTTCTTTACTCTCTACTGTTTCCCACACACCACTTCTGACTTCTTGCTGAAATACATCTGGCCATTTTTGTTTAATCTGCTTCATATTTGTAAATTATACTTTCTATAATTTATCCAGTGAGCTTCCCTTTAGGGCAGCGGTTCTCAACCTGTGGGTCTCGACCCCTTTGGGTCGAATGACCCTTTCACAGGGGTCACCTAAGACCATCGGAAAACACATATATAATTACATATTGTTTTTGTGATTAATCACTATGCTTGAATTATGTTCAATTTGTAACAATGAAATTGGGGGTCACCACAACATGAGGAACTGCATTAAAGGGTCGCGGCATTAGGAAGGTTGAGAACCACTGCTTGAGGGGAGTTATCTGCTGCAGTGGTCCACACGTGCCCTGGATGGGAAAGGCAACCCTAAGGGCCGGTTTGTGGTTGTCTCTTACAGGGCTTCACATGGTTCCAGGTTCAAAACCAATTTTCACTTGTTTCAAGTTTGGGGGATTCCCATACCAAGTCAGTTGTGTTAACTTTAGACCCTGTGAACCCATAAGGGAGATTAGCTGACTGTTTTCACCCATTGCTGACAACCAATTCCTTGTCTTTATTGAAAAGGTCTTTTCTTGATGACACTAAATTTTTCAGGCTCCTTGTCCCTCATATAGTAAGTAGCCTTGTCTCCTGGCTAGTGTATGCTAAAATTCAGGTTCCCTTCAACACTTAAACACCCCTTCAACTCCTATACATTGCCTCTTTAACCTTACCTGTGTTACTTTTTAATCAACCATGTTTAAAATAAATGTTCATGCGTTAGGTCAGCGGTTCTTAGCCTGTGGGTCGCGACCCCTCTGGCAGTCGAACGACCCTTTCACAGGGGTCGCCTAAGACCATCCTGCATATCAGATATTTACATTACGATTCATAATAGTAGCAGCATTACAGTTAGGAAGTAGCAACAAAAATAATTTTATGGTTGGGTCACAACATGAGGAACTGTATATAAAGGGCCAGAAGGTTGAGAACCACTGAACTAGGTTTTCTATGTGTTTGGAAGAGGAAAGATAGGTTTTCACTTGTCTGCTTTGCCAATTTGATCTGTTGTTTTAGGGTTACCAGATTTCAGGATATGATATCTGGTAACATTCCCTTTTACTTTACCATTTTCAATACCTTTGTCTACTTAATGAACATGACAATGCCATTGTGAGGTAGATAGGACAGGCATCAGTTGCCCCATTTTATTATGAGAATTTGTCATTCAAGATAGAAATCTCAGCAGAAACAAATTACACATCTACCATGTATTTAGCATAATCTTGGATGATGGAGGTGAAAATCAATTCAAATAGCTTATATAGTCAAAACTCATTTCTCCAATGTCTCCCAACTCCAACAATTCTGCTCTTGACCAAGTTGCTCACAGAAAATATGTCTAGGTTGTGGAACCAAACTTCGGTTTTCAACCTGACAACCCTTTCATGCTGATATCTCAGCATGAAAGGCTCAGGCAACAAAGAGATAATGCTTTTGTTGCTGGGGAAGTCATTGATTTGCACAATTTTAAGACATAAAGGAGGCCAAGAGGTAGAAAAACGGTTGATTTGGATAAACAAAAAGCAGTCAGTGACAGCCATTTCGGAGGCAGTGATAAATGAACAAATAAAGATGCTGCATGCTGACCTGAAAGTGATTCATTTAAGGCTAGTAGGGGGTGGTTTGATAAATTTAAGAAAATAAGTGCTTATTTATAGATTAAAAAGTACATTAGACATGTACTGTATATAAGAAAGATTAAAGCAGTGACTCATTTGGGGGTCTGGAATGGATTAATTGAATTTACATTATTTCTAATGGGAAAAATGATTTGGTTTTCGAACAAATCACTCCTTTAACAGCCTTCCAGAATGAATTAAGTTTAAGAACCGAGGTTCCACTATAGTTCAATTGGAGAGTAAATGGAAACAAAAAATACCAAACACAATACAAGCAGGGAATTGTTAAAATGAAAAATGCACAGTATTGACAGTATGGCTATACTATAGGTGGTGGGGAGAGGCCATTTTGGTGTGGATTGGCCTAGTGGAGGAGGTGGATTTGAGATAGGCCTTTAAGAGCTGAGTAGGATTTTAATAAGCAGGAGCTAATATTTGGACTATTCTAGAATAGAGCAAATAAAGTAGCAAAAAATTGGAGATTAGATTATGTTAGGTTTAAAAGGCAAATGGGCTTTAACCTTATAGAAAAGAGAAAATCATAGATAATTTATAAGTGAGAACAACAGAGTAAACTGTGCTTTAAGATGTTACTATTCTTAGAAAAGCTGCATCGAATGCAGTAGTGGGGAGAGAAACCTGATGGCAACGGGGCATTGTCTGAGTGGGTAAAAGAGACAAGGACGTGACCTTCATAACAGCTCTAGGCACAGCTGAGAACAAGAATATTTGGTTTTATAGTTTGAAATGCAAAAGAGGCACTTATTTAAATATACAGTTTACATGGATTGCTTTTTACATGTTATTAGGGGAACCAGCTGTCTCAGAAAAGTGGAGCTGAATTTCCACATCTGTCTGAGAGGATACAGAAAGCCCCTCTGGCACTGACTGCAGCAGAGTCCAGCTCTGCTAGGGGAGTGCAGACATAGACCTGAGTCTGGAACCTGGCCTGCATTTCCTATGGAAATAAGGCCACATGCTGGAGTTTGGTCCCAGGCCATCCACACTCGAGTATTTAACTCAAGGTGTTTAGGTATATCATTGTCTCATTGTTCCCCCCATCAGAAAAAAATACATTTTAGTTCCAATTCAGATACAGGAATAATCCCCAGGCAGAGGAGTACCAAAGGTGGCAGTGGGCCTAGGTAGTATTATCATTTGGCAATTTGGAGGCGGGTCACCTTTTAGTCTCATAAAAGCAGCATCCTCCCCACCCCCTATGTCTGAGATAGGGCACTTTTGACATACATTCAGGCAAGGCCTAAGTCAGATGGTCTATAATTACCTATCAAAAGTGAAAAAAATCACTACTGAGGTTCTAATAATTGATTAGCCATGAATACCACATTTCTTTTGGGATTTGAACAATTAAATCCAACCAAGAGAGAGTAGTTCTGGCTTTTACTTATGTTTACCTCTTCCTAATACTATCCAGTTAAATTCACACAAGAATGTATGTATATATATTTTCAAATGGTTCTGAATTAAATTACAGACTATACATATGTACACATTTTAATATAAAGGTGATTATGTTCCTCATCAACTTCTGGGCTGTCCATCTGGAGTGAGCTCATACCTGTAAGACAATTGGGTTTGGATTTATGTTAGTATTGAGAGTGTGTTGTGATCGCATCAGGACAGTCTAGCCTGCATGGGTCTGTATGGGACCAGCAGAATCCATCTCTTTATAAACCAGGATTAAGGCTAGAGCTGACAGATCCTCTAAGTAAGTGAGATCTGCAGATAGTAAAGGTGATTGATAATCAGCCTTCCTCCTCAAGCAAAGGAACTGAAATGTTCTGAGAAGAGAAAAACTTTGGAGAGAGACTATGGGCAAATGAGACTATTAATGTGATAAAATGAAAGGGCTCACTTACCATTGTGAGAAGCCCATAATCAGATCTTCTTTTGATAAATCAATCAGCACCTAAAAAATCACAAATAAATCAGTTCCCTTTAAAAAATGTTGCACTAAATGGAAACATACTGGGATAAATGAAATTGATCATAAAAAAGGTCTATTTGGCTTTCAACATGGAACCTCTCCAGAAGGACAGTGACCTCAATGTCCTGGGGAGGTGAATTGCTGTATACCCCAGGAATGTCTGTATGAATGTTACAGAAAGAGAGAACAGCTTGCCTTTACTCATTAACTGATCATAATTTAAAGCAAGACACTATAGTTGCCTCAACTGTAAAAATGGGGATACTATCACCTACTTCATAGAAGTGGGCTTTAAAAAGATGAGCATAAGGAAATGTTTATTAGAATACAACTATGAAGTATTGTACAAATATAATTCTTCTTTGCCTCCCCTTAGCATCTTTCTGAAGATTCTATTTCCTCTACTACTTTACGCAAAATCCTATCATCACAAAAATATTGATGTAATAAGATCCTAGCTTTACAACAAACAATGCTATATATGTAGAAATATATACAGAAACAATACTTAATACCATAGTAGATGTTCAAATACTTATGCAATAATGAATTGGGATATTCTTGAGTTTTTTACAGTAGGATTTATATTAATTTATTCATCTACATCATTTAGTTTCAAGAATATTTTAAGAAACACACCCAAAACCTCCTAATGAGGCCATAACTTCCTTGAATTCAGTTCTGGTAACAGTTAAATGATCCAATCAGAATTTCTACAAGGGTGCCATTCCCAAGGAACTCTCGTTCTTGTACTTACTTTTCCTAGCTCCTTCCTTCTGTGTGAGCCAAGTGGCCTACTGTTTTTCACTGCAACATCTAGTGACCTCTTCTGTACTTCTTCCAAGGGAACAAAAAATTCAAATCTTTAAGAAGCAAAAAGTCAGGAAATCAGAGTTACATATTTTCATTGAAAGTGTGTCATCCATTTTCCTACTTTTGAAACAAGATATATAGACTATTGAGAATAGCTTATAGAACAGTATTGGCTCATAGCAGATACTCAGTGCATCGCTGGCATGCATAATCAATGTCCTGGAAGTGTCAGCCTGTTTGCCTCTCTTAAGTCATTGGACTACTGTGCTTTGTGGTCTTGGTGCAGTTGTTGAACATTAGTTGATCATATAGGTGTGGGTTTATTTTTGGGTTCTCTATTCTGTTCCATTGATCTGTGTGTCTGTTTTTATGCCAGTAACATTCTGTTTGATTACTATAGCTTTGTAATATACTAGTAGTTGAAATTGAGGAGTGTGATGCCTCTGGCTTTGTTCTTTCTCAAGGTTGCTTTGGGTTTTTTATAGTTTCATGCAAATTTTAGGATTGTTTGTTCTATCTGTGAAATATACCTGGGATTTTGATAGGGATTCTGTTGAATCTGTAGATTGTGTGGATAGTATTAATTTTTTCAATTCATGAGCACAAACTATCTTTCCATTTATTTATGTCCCCTTCAATTTCTTTCATTAATGTCTTATAGTTTTCAATCTACAGGTCTTTCACTTTCTTGGTTAAATTTATTCCTAGGTATTTTATTCTTTATAATATTTTAAATGGGATTAATTTATCCCCTGTTCATTAGTGTACAGAAATGCAACATATTTTTGTATATTGACTTTGTATCCTGTAACTTTCTTACATTTGTTGATTAGTTTCAACAGTTTTTTGTGTGGATTCTTTAGGATTTTCTATGTCATCAGTAACAATTTTACTTCTCTCCAATTTGGGAGCCTTTTATTTCTTTTTGTTGCCTGATTGCTTTGGCTAGGACTTCCTGTACTATGTTGAATAAAAGTTCATGAATGGGCATAGCATACTTGTCTTGTTCCTCATCTTAGAAGGTTTTAAGCTTTTTATCATTGAACATGGTATCAGTTGTGGGCTTGTCATGTATGGCCTTTGTTATGCTGAGAGCTTTTATTATGAATGAATGTATGTGAAATGCTTTGTATGCTTCTATTGAGATGATATTACTGATTCAAAATCCTTACTAGTAATTGGTCTATTCAGATTTTCTATTTCTTCATGATTGCCTTGGTAGGTTGTATGTATCTAGGAATTTATCCATTTCTTCTAGGTTGTTAAATCTGTTGGTACATAATTGTAGTCTTTTATGATCCTTTCTATTTCTGTGGTATCAGCCTGGCTCAGTGGTTGAGCACTGACCTATGAACCAGGAGTTCACGGCTCAAATCCCCGGTGCGGGGGCATGCAGCTGATCAGTGATTCTCTCTCATCATTGATATTTCTATCTCTCTGAAATCATTAATATATATATTTCTGTGGTATCATTTGTAATGTTTCTTTTTTCTGATTTTATTTTGTCTTTTTTCCTTGTTACGTCTAGCTAAAGGTTTATCAACTTTATCTTTTCAAAGAACCAGCTCTTAGTTTTATCTTTTCTATTGTCCTTTTAGTTTATTTCATTTATTCCCACTCTGATCTTTTTCTTTCCTTCTAACTTTGGGCTTTGATCTCGTTTATTCATTTAGAGATTTATCACTATGAACTTCCCACTTAGAACTGCTTTTGTTGCATTCCATTTTCATTTCTCTTGATTTCTTTGTTGACCCATTGGTTGTTCAATAGCACGTTGTTTAATCTCCACATAATTGTGAACTGTCCAGTTTTCCTCTTTTAATTAATTTCTGATTTCATGCCATTTGATTGAAATCATATCGAGCATCTTTTCCAGTCTTCCTAAATTAAGACTTTTGTGGTCTAACATGATCTATCCTGAGGAGTGTTCCATATGCATTTGAGAATGTACCTATATTCAGCTGCTTTGGATGGAATGTTCTGTATATACTTGTTAAGGTCAATGTTGCCTTATTGATTTTCTGTCTGGTCCCATAGTCAAGGGAAGTAAAAGCTAAAATGGGTAGTTATTCTAAGATAAGAGGAAACCAAAATTATCAGGTATATATCTTCCTTGGCTGGCTAGAAATGTCTTCTCAGGATTCTGAAGAAGGAAGCAATTATGAGATTTTTATTTCTGTACCTTGAGGCCCACTTGAAATAAAAAATGGATAAGATTTACCATCACAAAGCCATCGAAAACAAGCAATGTCCCCCAAGGACATGGGTGGACAAGGTATTGAGGGTATCTGTCACCTATGCTTTGCTGTAGGAGGGAAGAGAGCCCAACGGACTTGCTTTAGAGAAAATTTTAGGTTTATTTTTAACTTCTGCTCTAACACAGATTCAAAGAAAATATATTTAACCAGATTAAAATCCTTTTCCTGCCAGAGAGGCTTCATTTAAAGGTATGGAACATTACATAATCAGGAATACTTTAGCTCCTATGACCAAGTAAGTAGTCAGCTCTTTTCTTCCACTAAAGTATATAGAAGCTTCATGAAGGCATAGACCATGTTGTCCTGTTCAACCCTAGCCATTCACATGATCTGGCAGACTGCCAGGCACACAACAGGTGCTCAGCAAGTACCTGAGTGGGTGAGGCACTCTGGGCAGGCCGACTGGACCACTTACGTCTCATCAAACCAGGGTTCCACGGTCTTCCGCTTCACTGAGGTCTTCTTACGACTTGCCCACCTCCTTTCTGGCAACAAGTAGATACGGACATAAGGATCAACTCCACTGCTGGTACAGCGTGTCAGGTTTCTGATTTGGTTTCAAAGACATTAAAGAAAAAAGGTCCTGATTTTCAAACATTGAAAACACTCATGTGGAGAAAGCTGTACTAGCTATTGAGCTTTAGGTGGCCTTGAGGATAAAAATGCCCAGGAGTCTAGATGACCAACAAAGCAAAAGTCTGTAGAATTGGGAGGACAGAACATCTGATGCGTGGTTTTGACAACATGAGTTTTCGTATAGTTTGGAGTACAGCTAAATACTTTCCATCTAAAGGAAGTTGAGAAAATGTACTGACTCCCACTACCCCAGACAGTTTGGCAGCGCTTGCTTCTGAGCAAAGCCCTTGGCTTGAGCCCATCAACACCATTTGAGGACCTTGTCACTCACAGCAAGACAGCCTTCAAGCCTCACTGGTTCCCACTGTATTGTCTACTAGTATCTTGGGGCTGCCCCTCTCTGCCAAGGGCCCCCCTCCATTTTGGGTCTTTACCTGCAGCCATTGATCAGCACGCTGAGGCAGCGCCGCAGACACACATAACGCACCGTGAGCTGGATCTCGCCCAGCCTCCGCGGCCTGAAATCCCCGCCCCTGTAAAGAAAGGGCTTGTCACTTCTGCCTTTACAAGTGTTGGCCTCTCTCCCTACCCCCAAGACAAAGCATGTCCTGCTTTTGGAACATGGGTTAATTTAAAAATGCTTCAGTTGGACGTCAGTTCCATCCCACATTCACGTGTAATGATCCTGCTTTACCATAGGAAGAGCATGGGACCTGGAGTGGGACCTGCCTTACGGCGTGATTGCTTGTGGGGCCTTGGGTAAGTTGACTTTTAGGATAGTAAGTTCTATTTCAGAGGGTTATTGTGAAAATGGAATTAAATAATGCACTATCCCCATAATAAGCACTTACGTGGCAGTCATTAATTACACAATTCCATATTATCCCTGTGTAACTCTTCAGAATTCAGGAAAGATTTCTGCTGTAACAGCCAAAGTCCAGGTTCTATTTACAGTTTTGTATATAGACTGTTTGGTGTACATGTGCTCACTTGCTCTCCCCTCCACCCCACCCCACCATGCTGCCATGCCATGCTGCCTCTCGTGAAGCCATTCTGTGAAAAAACAGAGCTTGAACAGAAAGTAAGTTCATATCTACTTTTCCCTCCAGGGAGTTATTTTTCAGGCAGGTGATCTTAGAAAAGATTAAGCAAAGAAGTGCATACTCAATGGTGAGGCTGATATCTGTCAGGTCAAAGCAGGAGGTGGCCAGAGAGTTGAGCGAGGACATGCTGGGAGCCAGCCTCGCGGGTGGCCATGCGAATGGGGAGGCAAGGCATTTCATGGGTCTGGGTGACTTGATGGGCCCTGGAGAGTGGGAGCCTGGGACAGTCAGGAAGATGGAGGTCGAACTCTTCTTCTCCCCCATGGGCTCACAGAAACCTTTGGCACTGTCCTTGCCTTTCGGCTCTGGGCCTGCCGCTTGGGGTGTGGGCTCGGTGGCAGCAGTGGTGGCGCTGGTGGCTGTCATGGTGTTCTTGGAGACTTCCTTGGTACCAGAAGCAGGGTCTGGGGGGCAGGGCAAGTCTGCAGGACCCTCTCCCTGGGGTGGATCTTTGGGACCTTGATTGGTGGCCACCTTCTTAATGAACAGAGGGCCTTTCTTTAGGGCTTCAGGTCCTGTGTATGGGCTCCCCATCTCTCGTTCTTCCACACGTAGGAACTGCAAGCAAATGACAGGGTTGTTTATGGCTTGAGCCCACCACTTCCATTTCCCTCTCACCTTAACCTCTAGAAAATGGTTCCTTCTCTTCTTTTTTCCTGGGAGGAACAGTTTTCTCAAAACTCCCAATTCCTTCCTGACTACCCAATACAATTTTCCCTCCAGACCATGTTTTCCTTAACCTCTCTCGGCCTTGCCCCCTCTGACCAGTACTTCTCTATCTTCCCTCTTCCTCCTGCCTCACTTGTGGGTTTTCATGAAGACTCAGTCCTTGTCCCTCCTTGCTATACTCATACTGGCTGCACGAGAGTTGCACTCTCAGCATGTAATTCCCAGACCTATACCTTCAGTCTTCCCTCACCTTAATCTTCACACACATCACCAGCTACCTTCTGGATATGGTTGTTTTCCAACTGTCACCTATTCACCATTACTGTCCCTAAAATGTGTTTTCTATCCAGACATACCTCTGTAGCCTTAACACCAGATTTTCAAACTTCAGCCATCGCATTTCCTCTTTTCCCTTCATTATTTATCAGGGCCCTTGCTAAGGGTTTCCATTTCTAGCAATATGGTGGTTAACATATTCTGAAAAACATCTTGTTAGGAATGCCCCAATAAAATAAACATCCTTTTAAATAGCCAAAATCACAAAGAAAGTCCCTAGGGCTTAAAAAAAAGGGGGGGGGGGGAGAAAACTAAAAAATAAAGGTTAAGCTTTCTGAGGGTCATTTATCAACCGTGGAATCCAAGGGATTAGGAAAAGAGGCCTTGGTCAGTGTGAGACTGGGAGTTGAAGTAGAACCTATGAAGGTGGGCTCTCTTTAGTGAAAAAGTAGCCTAGGATACACATTCCACCCACCAGCAAAACCTAATGACAGGACACGTGTCTGTCTCAGCCTGAATCTGGTCGGGGGGAAATTAAGTCTTTTCTAACAATAGGGCACCTGTAGGCCCCTCTCATATGAATTTACACTATCTGTGGTGTCTTGAAACCCAAAGTTAAAAATTAACATAGGCCCTGGCAGGGTAGCTTAGTTGGTTGGAGTGTTGTTCAAATATGCCAGGGCTGCAGGTTCAATCCCCAGTCGGGGCACATACAAGAGTCAACCAATGAATGCATAAATAAGTGGAACAACAAATCGATGTTTCTCTTTCCCTCTTTCTCTAAAAATCCATACCTAAATTAACAAAAAGGAACCCATATTTGTAGTTCCCCTGAGGTTCTTGGCTGCAGCAATAGCAGAGTCTCTTTGGAAGTGAACAACCTCATCCAGCTTACAAAGGAACACTGACCATGTTTCAGCCCAAGTTGCCAAACACAGAAATGAGTCATCATGAAAAAGCATCAACAGAAACAAAATTCAAATCATAAGATCTTCAGGTAATAGAATTCAGGTAATATGCCTTAAAAGTATTTTCAAATGATTAAAGATGAAATAAAGTTAGAGATGAAAAATAGCCTTTGAAATAAAGACCATGAACAGGTTAGAGAGCAGATGAGGCATAGCCAAAGAAGGATTTGGTGGACTGGAAGATCGATCTGAAAAAATTAGAATATAGCACCAAGAGACAAAAAAAGAAAATATGAAGATGATGAGAAGGTTCAGCATGGAAGGGGCTCTGGAAGGATTAAAAGAATGGGAAAGGCAATATTTGAAGAGGTAATGGCTAATAATATTCCAAAACTATGGAAAATATGAATCCATCTCCTAGCTTCTTCCCAACATAGAGCAAGTACTTAAGTGTTGGGGCCATCTACCTTGTACCAGAGCTCCACTCCCTACCTCGCGGGGGGGGGGGGGGGGGGGGGCGGAGAGTTACCCGAAGCACCAGCCTCATGGAGATGAGGCTGTCCAGGCCCGAGTGGTCCAGCTGGAAGCGCTGCTCGAGGGTCAGGTCTGCATAGGGGAGAATCTGGCACAGGGGTAACTCCAGCACTCCCAGAGCACACTCCTGGTCGTCATCCAGGACCTGAGCAGTGGGCCAGCCACAAAATGAGAACCATCACCACCACCACCCTCTGGACCCTGCCACGTCTAATTCACTTCTGTCAGCATGTACTGTGCTGCTACTGGCCCCTGGTCCTGTTCTGAAAACCGGGAATGGGATCAGTCCTGCTCCCAGCCTCCATCAAGAAGAGAGGGACTCAGGGTAGAGGCAGTTAGGGTCTCTATAAGGCAAGTGTATCGGAGACAAAGGGCCTGGGGCTTTCAGGGCTAGTGAGCGCTGCTGTTCCATGACCGGACACCAGGCTGAGGCCCCAGATCCCCAAGGTCTCAGACACATCATTATTTAATCCTCCATTCGCTCTTCCACAGATCTTTTGTGAAAATTAACATTTTAAAATAAATACATCAGAAATGTCCTGAGTAGATTTCAACACAGGCCACTCTGGGTGCTGTGTAACAGCCAGAAAGGCGTTCACAGGGAGAGCCAAGGGACCTGAGGGGTGTGCCCACAGCCTTTACCCAGTGACCTTGGGCACCAGCCTCCCTGAGATGTGGGAGGCCTTGGGGCGGGGCTGACTGGCCAGGGGAACCTGCTCGAGGTGCACTTCGAGCTCCCACCCTCCTGGCCAAGACACCTCTTAGCTCTGATCCAACAGCCCAACTGCCAGCAAACCTTGAGACGCAGCTGCTCAGATGCCACACTGCACACAAAGAAGGAGAACACCTGGCTCCACACGGGGTCCTTGCTGCGGGGACAGGTCTGGGGACAGAGGGAGAGAGGCCATTAAAGGGTCTGGTTGGGCAGAGCAGGATTCCTGTGCGCTCACTCCAGCCCCCAGGGACCTCTGGTGGCCATCTCTGCCCATGGTCAGACCCACACATGCTTGTGGGAGGCATTAGGGCGGAGCAGCCAGACTTAAAGGGGCTGAGAGTCATGTGAGCGTAGTGCTCACTTGGGAGGGAGGTTCCTGCTGGACTGGAGATGGGGTGGTGGAAAGGACTTAGAGTCACGCCTAAACTTGAACCCCAGCTCTGCTGCTTTCTAGCATGTGCCCTGGGGTAAGTCACTGATCTCTCACCCTCAGATTCGTGAACTATGACACTATTTGTGAGGTTACTTTGGAGACTAAATAAAATATAAAGTGTCTAGAATGTGTCCTGGCACCTACTTGGCATTCAGTGTAAGCTAATTCCCTCGTCTTTTGCTTCTCTCACTGAGAAGGGCTGGGGCCCCCATTTCCGTACCCCATGGCTACACACCAAGCTGCCTTACCTTGCTCACATATGTCTTCTTGCCTACAGATAGCTTGACATAGGAAGAAGGGTCTCTGCTCACCTTATTCTGTGAGGGGGCAAATCACAATGAGGGTGGCATCATCAGTGTCAGCCTAAGATGCACACCCTCACCCCACCTCCCAGCCTCAGGAGCATCAGTGGGACTTGTGGCCAGCCAGTTGCTGCCGTCACTGTGCAAGCACCTGGACAGGGCTGACTTCCTGTGAACAGTGAACAGTGAGCTGGCTGGGTACAGGCTCTGGCTCCCTGGCATTATGGAGACACACAGGGTGGGTTCAAGTTCCAGCTCCTCCCTTAGGTGTGTGACCCAGGCCTTAACCTGCCAGGTCCTATTTGTAAAATGGCAATAAAATCGGACACGGTCATCGTGTCTCGCGGGCACAATGAATGTGGGGGATGAGTTGCCAAGCCCAGTGCCTGGCACCAGGAAATTTGACAAGGACAGCTCTTGCCAAGCCCAGGCTGTGTGCGCAGACTCGCCCGGAAAACATGGGCCTGGGGTTACTCTGGGGAAAAGGAGTTCTGACTTGCTCTCGGGTTTTCAGCTGCACACACACTCTCACCTTGGCAAATCTGGAGAGTTTTTTGGCTCGATATTCACCATTCAGGTAGTCAAAAGGGTTTCTCTGCAGCACAAGAAGACATCTCCGTTTCAAGTGAGCATTAGAAAGGGGGGCACAAGGCAGGCGGGTGTGTGACCCTGACCATGTCACCACTCACCGGCAGGTTGCAGGCGCTGTCCAAGAAGACCACGAGGATGGCACTGGAAAGGCCCGCGTGGTCCTGCAAGCAGACACAGACCTCGTTAGGTCCCCCATGGAGGGAAGCCAGCCCCTGCCCTCCAGGCTGCTGAGAAGATCCCTCAGCCTAGCTTTTCTGTTAGCGCCGAGACCCAACTGCAGCGCGACAGGTGCAGGTCAGACACGGTCGATTTTCCCTGTGGTCTAGGCCAGTGGTCGGCAAACTCAGTCAACAGAGCCAAAATCAACAGTACTTCTTCAAAGTAGACTCGCCCAGGCTGAAAACCGACTTCTGCGCATGGGCCATAAAGTTTCAATCGCACTGTACTCGCGCCCGCACGTGGTATTTTGTGGAAGAGGCACACGCAAGGGGCCAAAGAGCCGCATGTGGCTCCCGAGCCGCAGTTTGCCGACCACTGGTCTAGGCTGACAGGCACCAGCAGTGTTTAAGGATCCCAGCTTCCCTGAAGGAGACTGAGATGCTCAGAGGAGAGAGACCAGGAGCTGCCCTTGTGGAGGCAGGGCTGAGGGACAGGTTCTCTAAAAGGCGGGGCTGGCCCGAAGATTAAGCAAGGTCTGGGGGCTCAGCCCACACGTGACCAGCCCTGCTTTCTGCTCAGGAGCCCCAACACCTTGCACTCACCTCAGTCAGAGCCTCAGGGTCAGCGATCAGTGAAAGCCACTCCAGCCGCAGGTGCAGCCGCCCACTGGTTGTGTCATTCAGGACAAACCACTGCGGGGAGACGAGGGAAAGGAAAGCTTGGGGACAGGGCCAGGGAGGTGCTACTGACCCTCCACAGGCAGCTCAGTCCTGGGACCCTGTGGGGCCCCAATAGAGGCTCAGGGAAAAGGGGAAGCAGCGCAGACTCTGGGCTGAGGGACTGGGATGTGGGGGTTAGGAGGAAGTGCTACAGTTGGGATGGACAAACCCTCCTGCCCAGGCCCAGCCCTGCAGTGTGACCACCCCCCGCTGGAGGTCCTTGGTCGGGGCCTTCCAGGGAAGCTTCTTCCCACCCAGGCCTTGGAAGGTCCCGGGACCCATCTGTGTCTCGCCCAGCGCTTGGCCCTGGAGACCAGTATGTGTGGCTCAGCATGGGAGGGGCCCATTCATAGACCAGCTGGGCTGAAGCATCCTGCGAGCGCTGTCCACAGGGAGGGCTGCACGCACAACTCTACCTCATCCACCACTCTGTTGGTCCTGACATCCCCGAGGCAGATCTGCAGGCTGGAATACACAGGGAGGGGTCAGCTCGGCTCCCAGGAGGCAGCAGCGGACGGTGTGGCCGCCCACCCTGATCTAGGCTCAAATACCTGAGCGGGCCCTCAAGACCCAGGACCTTATTCATGCCAGGGAACCAGTGGGAAGCCACGCTCAGCTCGAGGAGGAAGGACTGTCTTAGCCATCAGGGCTGCTCTGGGCATGCTGCCCAGAGGCAGGTGGCTTCCACCCCCAGAGGGGAATAAGCAGGTAATGCTGGACACATCAGCTCTGACTTACCAGTGATGGTGCTACTGGCATTGGAGTGGAATGGTGTTTCATTGTGCAAAACTGCCCATGCGTTGCAGGAATTCAGTTTCCCTGTCCCGTGCCCTCTAAATGCCATGGCTCCACTTCCCGCAGTCATTGTAACAACCCCAAATGCCTCCATTTCCAGAACTGCCCCCAATGCCTTCCACAGGATCAGTTGGCACGTGTGTGCAAAGAGGTGACACCCACATTCTCAGCGTGCCTCCCACCTTCCCTGACTCAAGCCAGGGGGGAAATTAATTGCATGTAACTATTAGAAGTGTGTTTGAGCTCCAAACACACTTGAAATCAGTTACACAAAATATGAATCACAAGCCACACTTCAAACCTGCAATATTATGAAAATTACTAAGATGAGAAAAAAGATAAGCAGCATTGGCTTGCGCGCTGGTTCTCAGGCTGTCAGGCTGTGCCCCTCCCACTTGGTTTTGTTCATTCTTTCTAAAATTCTGTGTTCAGGGAAACGGGCTAAACAACACGGGAGTATGAAGCTTTGTGTAAAATTCGTTTCAGCCTCCCAGTCCCAGCCCTCGGAGACGAGCAGGGTGAGCAGCCTGCTGTGTACATGAACACGTACGAACACACACACACACAAGGGTCCCCCTGGGAAGGTGAATCGAACTGAGGGTCACTCCCACCTGCCCCTCTGCCGAAGACATAACGGACGTCCTCCAGGTCCATACGCGGATCCTGCTCAGTTTAAAGCTGCAGAACATCCTCTAGTTTGGCGACGGCAAATTTACTCAAACACTCAGCCAGTGCCCTCTGAAGCTGGACACACTGTGGGAGTCCACACTATGGGAAGGTGGGAGGCACGCTGAGAATGTGGGTGTCACCTCTTTGCACACACGTGCCAACTGATCCTGTGGAAGGCATTGGGGGCAGTTCTGGAAATGGAGGCATTTGGGGTTGTTACAATGACTGCGGGAAGTGGAGCCATGGCATTTAGAGGGGACGGGACAGGGAAACTTGCTTTGCCACCTCAGTTCTCCACTGAACACTTCCGGTTAAGGCTTTCAAAGGACCTGGAAGTGGACCATTGGGACCGGCAGCCCCAGCCTGGCCGTGTCAGTCTGCACACACCCTGGGTTTCTGTGTGCTGCCGCCCGAGTGGCCAGGTTTCCCTGACACTGGGGACCGGCCATGCGTGTCAGCTTTGCCCCTGCCCCCTGCCCCAAATGGGGACCCTGGGTACATTATTAAGAGATCAGAAAGCAGGGCCTACGGCACATAAACCTTGGGTCCTCTCTGTATCCCTTGGGCCCAGAGTGGAACACTCAGGAGAATGGAGAGAGGTGTGGACGGCCCTGAGACCGAAAGCCCAGCGCCCAGACCCAGCTCAGCCCTCCTCACCTGCCCAGGAAGTCGTCCCTGTCAGTATCCTCGTCATACAGGTCCACCTCCAGGTCCTGCCCAGGGACTTCGTACACTAAGAACTGGAAGGAAAAAGGGGACGTGACCCGCAGGCCACGGCAGCGGGTGAAGCAGACTCACCTGTGACCCCTGGGAGCCAGGTTCAGCTCCACAGCTGCCAGCTGGAGCCCAGGCAGGCGCCGGCCTTCTCAGTGCCCGGGAAGCCCTCCTGGGAGAGGCCCTCCCGGCAGGTGGGGGCAGGTGGGGAGAGGAGAGGCAAGTGCAACCCATGGGGGTGCTCAGGGCACAGCAGCTGCAGGTGTGCTTGGCAGGCTTTGCAGCCTCCAGGGCACTTCACAGGCCGTGGGGCCCCCTTCAGGGAGTAGCGGGGGGTGGTTAAGCTCAAGGGAGAACTTCAGCCCCTGGTGTCTGGCTCTGGCTGAGAGGACGGGGCAGGACTACCTTGATGTTTTCCCTTTTACTTTGATTTGAAAGCCTCCAACACAGCTGACGGGGGAAAGGACAGGAAGCACATCTATAAGCTGTCCCTCCGGGGCCACTGCAGCCCACCTCCGGGAGCACAGGGGTTTGGGAAGAGGGACATGCAGCCCATCCTGCCCGTCCCCAAGGCCCACTCCTTTGGCCAGTGTTGCCCCACAGGCAGGTGAGGCCCATGAGGGCAAGGGGCCGCCTGTCCCCAGCACGACCCAGAGTGGAGCCAGTTGCGGCCGAGGAGCCCCTCACCTCGAACACCTCGTTCCAGGTGGGGTTCAGGTTCTTGTAGACGGTCTTGCTGCGGAAGTGCTGCAGGCCGATGCTCACCTTGGCGTAGGGGTCTGACTTGCCTCGGATCCCCAGGAAGTGGTCCATCTGAGCCAGTTTCTCCGCCTCCAGCAAGTGGACTCTGATCACCCCCTGGAAACGCCCAGCGCAGGGCTCACCGCTGCTTCCTGGGCAGTACCAGCCCTCGAGACCCACACTATCAGGCCAAAGCCTCGGACACCACCCAGCCCACCCCACCCCACCTTCTCCTGGGTCTGGATGGGGAGACGGCAGCCTCCTGGCCAAGGCCATGCAGCACGTGATGGCGGCCCAGAGCTCTGTCCCCCTCAGTGCCCGCCCACACTCCTGGCCTTCCCACCCTGCCCTGGGATTGGCTTCTTCCACGCAGCCATTTCAGCTATGCCAACAACCAGGGCAAACCAAGCCCCCTGAGGTTTCCTGTCTGTAACCGGCAAGCAGACTGACCTCCAGTGTCATTTCTGCCCAGTGCCCAGGTGTATACAGCCTGTGGGCACTGCTTGCTGCTGGGTCCCTGCCTCCTAGAAGCCCAGCCCTGTCTCACCCGACCCCCCTCCCCGGGCCATGTCTCAAGGCAGAACAGAGCCAAGCACTGGGAAGAGTAGCCTTCCTGCCTGGAACTATTTCTTTTTAAATACCAGTAAGTACGTATGTCTTTTCCCTTGGACCCAGCCATCCCACTTTCTAGCCCTAAAGCCATACTGTGAGAATGTCCTGACAGCCTGTTTGTCCCAGCAAAACACAAGACGCAACTGTGTGTCGGTGGGGAACCGGTGAAATAGGTGCAGTACGCCCACACGTGGAGCAACCGGTGGCCCCAGAATGAGGGCTCCACCCACACAGTCGGGGAGACGGCCTTACGCAGGACACGGCCTCACGCAGCAAGGCGGGGGAAGTGCTATGTGGCTGTCCGCCGAGGAACGGGGGGCCTGAGGACAGATATGCACACACCAACACGGGGGCGTATCTGCCTCGTAGAAAACAAACTGAGAAATTGGGGCTGGGGGGTGGGGGGACCACTGCTTCCAGGGAGAAGGGGCAGAGTAGGTGGAGGGACAAGGGCTAGAAGCCCGACTCCTTCAACTATAACTTGGTCTTTATATTGCACGTTGGAAGCATGCACATGCTTTTACGATTGTAAAGTTAAGGTAAAAATTAAACCCTGAAAATAGCAAATGGAGTGAAACAAATCGATATAAACATTCGTGGGCAGCTGGTGTCCCACACACACAGAGGCACAGTTCCTGGTGAGTCTAAGTCGCGGCTGCTTGACAGCACCGCTGGCGTGGGACACCCCTGGCGTGGGACACCCCTGAGGAGTGAGTGGCTGTGGCGCAGGTGGTGGCGTCGCGTTGTTAGTCTGCGCCTGCCTCACCTGGTGGGATGGAGCCACACTCCCCGTGGGAAGGCCGACAGGAGCCGGTCCCTCGCCCTCACGGCCGGAGGAGGCTGATGCCGCACCTGGTACTGATGGTGAAGTGGGCACTTTCCCCTTTCTGAGGCCCCAGCTCCCAGCCCTGAGGGCTCAGGGCCCCTTCTGTAGGGAGCCCCACGGCTGTCCTCAGGGCCTCCCTAGCTGGGCCCAGGATAGAGGGGGCAGTGGGGCTGAGCACCGAAGGAAGCCCCCGGCTGGCTCCGCCATTCTCCTTCCCAGTAGACCCCAAGGATGGAGCCGGAGCCTCATGTCCCTGAAGGAGGCTGGGAGCTCCTGGAGGCTCCTGGGGCCGGGCTGACTGCCCAGTCCCCAGCCCAGGCCGCACGGTACCAGGATCAGGGAAGGAAGCCCCCTGGGCTTCGCCCGACCCTGGATGGGTGACTGGACAAGTCAATCCCGAGACTCAGTCTTCGCCCTGTAAACTGGAGGTGCCACGCGCCCCCCACCCCCGTGAGAATGCATTCCCCTCCAGCCATCTGTCCCCAGCTCTGGGCCCTGGGCCCTGGCTGGTGCGGGTACTCACGCAGGGCAGAGGGAAGCGCAGGTTGGTCACATCCAAGCCCTTCTTCACGGGCACAGTCACGCGGTTGGGCAGCACCAGGTGGGCGGCGATGAGGTCCTCCAGCAGGCTGTCTGACATCTCACTGGGACAGTGGGCACGACCAGCTGTGAGAGGTGGCACTGCCTCCCCCAGGCCGCCTGTCCCTCCACCCATCCCCGGAGCCGGCACAGGAGCAGAGTGCCAGGGTGGGCCCTGCCCGGGAGCGTGCAGCCTGAGCCCGGCCTGCCGCCCCAGCATGGTAGCTAAGAGTGCCGACCTGACGCCGTGTTGGCATCGCAGGGGCTGTGTGGTCTTGGGGAACCTGCTAACCTCTCTGAACCTCAGTTTCCTCATCCCTAAACCAAGGATAATTCCACCTGCCCCTTAGCATTTTACGAGGATGACTTACATGTGTGAAGGGCTGAGGACAGTGCCTGGCGCCCAGTAAATGCTGGGTGAGTGGTCGCTACCTTAGCCCTCTGGTCCCTGCCATCACATCCACATTCTCTTCCTCTGCTGGCTGACTCCATCCCCCAGAGAGGGAGCAGGGACAGTCCCTAGAAGAGGATTCCTCCCCGCAGGTGGGGGGCAGCTGCCCACGCCTGGCGAGCCAGGGTGCGTGCCCTGGCCGGCCCAGCTGGCCCTCCCTGCTGGGGCTGTGTCCACACAGGGCTGGAGCCCTTCTCTGCTGGGGGGGCCTGCGGCTCTGGGTGCAGCACCCTCCCTGCCAGCCCCAGGAAGGAGGGATTTCTCAGACCAGCTCCTCCTCACTCCGCCCGCGCCCAGCCTGTGCTTGTGGCCATGGTGGGGGCGGCCTCATGGGCTTCTCTCCACACACTTCTCACCACTCATGTGCGTCCACACCCACTCGGCCACCACCACACACATCTGTGTTCTCCCAGGGGCCCCACGATAGAGGAACTGGGCTCCACTTTTACTGAGGAGGAGCCCAGGGAGGTGACGTAATTTGTCTAAAGTCACAGTTGCTACCCAACAGCGCCAGGAGCCTCAGTCCACACGCCTCCTCTAGGACATCCCATCTGATCAGAGCCACTCGCCCTGCTCTCACACACACGTGTGTGTGCACATACGTGATGTGTGTGTGTGTGTGTGTTCTGAGCACAGTGCCTGCCCGCAGAGGCCAAACAATGCTGTCAGCCTCCCACTCCCACACCCCAACGTTTCCCCCAGAGGGAGGGAGCTCGGTGCCTGCCCCACTCCTCACAGGGAGCCGGGAGGGAGGGCAACCACTGTGCGCCCGGCACTGACCACAGCCCCAGGCCCCGCCTGGCTCTGCGGGCGGCTCTCGCAGGCACTCACTTGATTCCTGGCGCATCCAGCAGGTTGGTCAGGCCCGTCCAGTTGATCTGCAGGTGCTGCGGGCAGAGGGGCTGCTAGTCTGGAAGGAGCCAGAAGCCCAGGACCGAGAGCCCTCTGCCCAGCGCCCCACACCCACCACGGGGAGAACCCAGCCTGCTGAGGGCGCCCGCTCGGGATGGGCAGGCTGTCAGGCCTGCTGCTTCCTGCCAGGATCACGCAGGCGTGGCCAGGGCACGTGGGCCCTGAGTGGCCCTGCAGCTTCCCCGAGCTGCTTCTGGTCTGGGGGAGAGCGGAGCCGGGTACCTCAGGCTGCCTTAGACTTCACGGGACGGGCATGTGGAGTGCCCGGGTCTAGGCGGGCTTAGGCATCTCCGTCCGTGGTTCAAGCCCAGCGCCTGGGGCCCGGCAGGCACGAGCTCCTGCCCGGGGAGGGGCAGGCCTGCATCCGGGGGCTCACCGGCTTCTGAAGGAAGAACACAGTCACGGCTCCCACGAAGGGCTTGTCCACCAGGAGGGGGTCCAGGATGACCCGCAGCGTGCCCTGCAACTGGATGGCACCGAGGGCTCCATGAGGGATGCCTCCCTTCTTCCCACACCCGCTGTGTCACTGAGCCCATGCCACACACACATGCCCAGGGCACGCACCGCTGGCTCGCCAGGCGTGGGCAGCTGCCCCCGACCTGCGGGGAGTGGGGTCACCGTGGGGACCACGCTCAGAAACAGAAACCTGCCACCTTCGGCCAGCTCCCCAGGGGCCATGAGCTGGCCCCCACGGCCTTCCGGGGGCGCTGGGCTGAGGGCCTGCAGCTGCCCACATTCCCGGCCAGCCCAGCCAGCGGGGTCCAGGCACGGCTCCCACTCCGCTCCTCGCCGCCTCCTCCTCGATCTGCCCGTTTGCAAGCACGGGGTCTGCATCACCCCATCCACAGAACCTCTGCCTTCCCTGAGCCACGGACGTCTCTCTGGGGGGACTTTACAGACAGAGGCAGGCATGGGCTGAGGGGCTCTGGGGCTGAGCCGCAGGTTGGGGGCCCAGCAGTCACTTCCTGGCTGTGTGACCTTGAGCACGGAATCCCTCAATCGTGACCTGCCTGTTTGGTGTCACCACCCCCTTTTGCAGCCTGCTCCAGTATGAGCCTGTTTTTCCCTGCCCTGACCCTCCCACCCCACCCCAGGGACAGGAGTGGGGGCAGTACCATCGGGCCCCACTCACCTGGATCCCGTTCACACCAGCCTGTATCTTCTGCAGCTCCACGCTGATCTCGCAGTCCCCAATGTAGCTGAAAGGGGAGGGAGAAGGAAGGTCGGGAAGAGGGGCAGGTCCACCTCTCAGAGAGGTGGGAAACTTGCCCAGCGCCACCCAGCCCGAGCCCCGCCTCACCCAGATATGGTCACCCTCACCGCCTCAGCTTTTCTCGGCTCGTCACTGACCCAGGCCCCTGCACCCAGGAGTCCCATGCACATCCCCACCTCTGCCCGTGATGACCATGACTCTGAGTATCACCTTGTCCCATGACCCCATGGATGTGAAGGAGGGGCTTTTGGCGAACACAGGGCCCAGTTCTCTGCCTCGACTATGCTCCCCCGCCCCCCTTCCCAGGTGTCTTCCCCATGGACAGAGCAGCCACACTACCTACATCCAGCCCTCACCCAGGCGGTTGCTGGGGGTAGTGGAGGGAAAAGGCAATGTTCTCAGGAGCCGAGTCCTGCTGGTGGCTCCTGCCAAGTGATGGGCACAGGGAGCTCAGAATGAGTGCCTCAGAGGCTAAAGGTCCGGAGACCCTGTGAAAGGACTGAAGACTACGGGGAGCAAAGCGGTGGCCATCAAATATCTGCAGGGCACAGGCAGGGGAGCTAGTATCCCCTAGAAGGTCAGAGTAAAGCCTGGGGACTCCGGGAGCTGCCCAGGAAGCTGGGTGGGGAAGCCCGATGACCTTGACAGGCCCTAACTGTTCACACAAGGCTCTGTAGCAGTGCCTTGGGGCCAGACCCCAAACCTGTCACCATCCCAACACACTTGAGAACAGCCCCCAACTGGGGAGGGGCATTCCCAGAGCTGACCCTGTCTTCCCAATGTGCCCTCAGTGCAGCCTCTGGGATAAGGACACTGAAAAGGAACGGCACCATTCTGGAACCTCAGGAGTCGATCCTGGTTCCTTTAAAACACAACTCCAATCTCACCACCTCCAGGAAGACTTCCTGGGTTCAATCTCCCTTCTCACCAACTCAAGCCTATTACAAACCTCGTTCAAAAACAGTGCCTTTGCCCCACCCGCTCAGCTAGTCGCGCGTGTGTTTTTGCATCCTTTCGTTTTCCGAGGAGCCGCAGGGCCCAGCTCTCCTGCTGGCGTCTCACAGCCTATGCAGAGCACCCTGGGACTCACCCCACGTCCCAGCATCTTGCCACCCATGCTCCCTCTTGCTACATCCTCTCTGAGGCAGCTGCTCTGACCCTCGAGGTCAGACCTGGCCCTCGCCTCTAGGAAAGCTCAGCTCCTGGGCCTTGGTACCCAGAACCTGCCTGGTGCCTGGTCTGATGGAGAAGCCGGGCCTGGGCTGAGGGGTCAGATGGTGGTGGCTCCCCAGGATCACCCTTCTGCTGAAACTCTTCCCCATCCCAGGCTCCAGCCCAGGGCAGTTGGGGGTATATCTGCTCTGAGGGGCAAATGAGAGTGTCTATATGCTACCCCATCTTCAAACTGCTGTTCCCACAGAATGTGCCACGGACCCACCCCTGCCCCCAGGCAAGAGGCTCACCAGATCTGCAGGTCCAGGACCACCTGCCTCCGGTTGTGCTTGCTGATGTGCGCCTGGACCCCGTTGACCCTGGGGCACTGGAAGAGAGGCCGGGGCTGGGTCAGCAGAGGTCTTGCAGCAGGGAGGCTGCTCCCCTCCCAGCACCGGGTTTTGCCCAAAATAACATGACCACTGCTCTCCTGAGGCATGAACACAGAAACCCTCCCCATGGTCCCATCTGCCGTGGTCACCCTGATACTTCCCTCCCTAGAATGTGCACCCTTGTTTCTCTCTCTCCTCTACAGATATTTATTGAGCACCCGCGCTGCACCAGGCGCTGGCCTGGGAGCAGGTGAAAAGCAAGGTGGTCAGGCCTGTCCTCACAGCCCAGCAGAGGAGACTACGGTGGTGGTGGTGGTGGTGGTGGTGGGAGGGATGTGGGGAGGGAGGTGAGGTGCAGCCTGTGCTGTCACGTCGCCATCTGGGGACTTCAGGAGCACCTCCCAACCCAGCTTGGGGTGAGCAGAGGTTAGAGAAAGCTTCCTGGAGGTGGCATTTAAGCAGTTTGGGCACATGAGTAGGAGTTGGCCCCTAAGGGCAAAGGAAGATGCAGGGTCCCCGGCTAAGTGATCTGACCCTAGGAATGTAAGAGCCCCACGCCAGGACCACAGTCCCCAGGCTCTGGGCCAAGGGCTGAGCTCCTAGATCACCTTTCTTCCCCCTCTGCCCACTCTCCTCCTCCTGTCAGTGGCACTGGAGGAGGGTCTGGTTATTATTTAGCAAGAATCAAAAATAGGAGAACCAAGATGGCGGCACAGGTAAACACCTGTACCTGCTGCTTCTCACAATCACATCAAAATTACAACTATCATTCAGAACCACGGGAAGGCTGGCTGAGTGAAAGTACTACAACTAGAAGTAAAGAAGAAAGCGCATTGAGACTGGTAGGAGGTGCAGAGGTGCAGAATGGGCTGGCACCCGGGCGCACTGATTTTTAATCAGGAGAGAGATAAAAGCTCCCGCTTGCTCTGAACTCTAGTTCCGGGTGAGACTCTGGGGGACCCAGACACACATGGGGAGAAACTGGACTGTCTAGCATCAGGGCAGGAATGCGAGGGCAGCTTTCTTTCAGATGGAGGTGCTCACAGCAGTCATTGTTCCTGTGCTGGGACCTCTCTGGTGCAGGGCTGACTGGCAGCCATTTGCTCCACCCTGGTGATTCCCTGAGACCCTGCCTCACCCAATTTACAACCCCACCCAAGCTGTGCACAGTGGCTTTTGCATATGAATGGCCTGTCCTTTATCAGCCTAAAACCTGTCAAACAGGCAGCAGCAGGCAGCAGCGGGATCAGGGAGCCCCAAAGCTATTAAAAGAAGGCCCAAGGCTGGCAGCAGCAGCCTGCCTTGCTTCACAGCTGGGCCTTGTCTGGGCACTTCCAAACCCAATACAAAGAGAAGGAATCTGCAGATCTCTCGGTAGCTCCTGCTGGATGGCCCCAGGCAGTGGCTGACTTTGCACCTCTCTGCGGACCCAAGAGCCAGTGTACCCAGTGGTCAGTGTGAGACCATACCAGACAACTCTACACATCCATAAGCAACACACTCAAGGGGCAGACTCAGTGAGCACCAAAGCCCCACTGAAGCAAGTCCTGCCCCATAAGGGTGTCTCCTGCACAGCAGCTCTTCCATTGTAGACACAGCCAATTGGCCTGGAGGTCAATTCCTCCCAGTGATACCAACAGCAATCAAGTCTTAACTACAACAAGATGGTGCACACAGCCCACAAAGGGGTGCACCAAGAGTGTCCACCTCAGGTGACTGGGGAGGCTGAGGCACTGGGCCCTATAGGACACCTACCACACAAGGCCACTCTATCAACTCAAGGAGACTTAGCAGCTCTACCCAATACATAGAAACAAACACAGGGAAGCAGCCAAAATGCAGAGACAAAGAAACATGTCATAAATGAAAGAAATGGAAGAAAGCAAAATACTGGATATAGAGTTCAAAACCACAGTTATTATTCAAACATCTTCTAGAAACCTCCAAGAAACTTAGTGAGATCTTCAAGGATCTTAGTGAGAATGCCAAAAAAGTGGAAAAGGACCAGTCAGAAATTAAGCATACACTGACTGAAATAAAGAATAATATACGGAGATTCAACAGTAGATTAGAGGATTCCAAGAATCAAGTCAAAGATTTAAAATATGAGGAAGCAAAAAAACACCCAACCAGAAGAGCAAAAAGAAAAAGAATCCAAAAATATGAAGATAGCCTAAGGAGCCTCTGGAACAACTTCAAGCGTACCAACATCAGAATTATAGGGGTGCCAGAAGAAGAGAGAGAGCAAGATATTGAAACCCTATTTGGAGAAATAATGACAGAAAACTTCCCCTACCTGGTGAAATAAATAGACTTACATGTCCAGGAATCGCAGAGAACCCCAAACAAAAGGAATCCAAAGAGGACCACACCAAGGCACATCATAATTAAAATGCCAAGGGCAAAAGATAGAGAATCTTAAAAGCAGCAAGAGAAAAACAGTTACCTACAAGGGAGTACCAATATGACTGTCAGTTGATTTCTCAACAGAAACTATGCAAGCCAAAAGGGAGTGGCAAGAAATATTCAAAGTGATGAATACCAAGAACCTACAACCAAGATCACTCTACTTAGCAAAGCTATCATTCAGAATTGAAGGTCAGATAAAGAGCTTCACAGATAAGAAGAAGCTAAAGGAGTTCATCACCACCAAACCAGGATTATATGAAATGCTGAAGGGTATTCTTTAAGAAGAGGAAGAAGAAGAAAAAGGTACAGAAAAAACTATGAACAACAATATATATCTATCAACAAGTGAATCTAAAAATCAAATGAATAAAAAAATCTCATGAACAGAATAAACTGGTGAATGTAATAGAATCAGGGGCATAGAAAGGGAGCGGACTGACAATTCTCGGGGGGAAGGGGGAGGAGGGGATGCAGGAAGAGATTGGACGAAGATCTTACACCTGTGGACGAGGACAGTGGAGGGGCGAGGGCCTGGGGTGGGGTGGGAACCAGGTGGAGGGGAGCTATTGGGGGGGGGGGGGATGGAGAGGAACATCCATAATAATCCAAATAAAGATTTTTTAAAAAGAATCAAAAATAAATTTCATTTGAATTTGATACACATACTGAAGCGGACGGGTGACTCTCACTAATGTCTGGGATTTAGTGTGAAATGCGCTTTAGAAAAGATGACAAGAGGGGCAGAGGCATGGGCATGGGCTAAAGCATCACAGCAAAGGGCTCACTGTGTCATCCAGATGTTCTCTCAATTTTGTTTTTGAAAAGTTTCATAAAATATTAAAGAAAAAATGTGATCAGACTAGAGGAAACACTTCATCATCTCTCTATTCTCCTAGAAAGTGATGTTTACATATGCACTGTCCCATGAAAAGTTATGAAAGAGCACAGAGCCAAACATGCAGGGAAAACGGTACTAAAGGGGCACGTTGAGCAGTTAATTAAAATTATGTAGTTTTTCCAGAGTGTTTGATTTGCGTGATATGTCAAATGTATAAGTTGCTGTGGTTTATTTTCTCATTCTCATATTTATTTAACATTCATTTTTGTCCTCATTTTACATTCTTTTTCTTTAAGGGAGTTCCCAGAATTGTAGAAGCTTCAGGCCCTCAGCCCCTGGCTCTACCCTGGCCTCCAGGGCTTTGGGGTTAAAGACCAGAACAGCCAGTGGAAGCCTGGGCTGTAGGGGGAGGAAGGGGCGGGGGGGGGGGGGGGGGCGGTACGACATAACCGACTTCCCACAGCCTGGAGCCTGCTGCTCCCAGCGGGTTGGTGTGCGGACACCTGTGAAAGCTCAGCAGCCCCAGAACCCCATCTGAGGACGGCTGCCCTCCTGAGCCCCCCCACAGGGAGGAAGGAGAGCCATCCTGTGAGCATCTGCTCTGCGCTGCAGGGCGGTCCTAGCCCAGGGCTCACAGCAGGCGAGGGCTCAAGGCTGGGTTGGGCCCCCCTGGCGGTCTCTCCAGGGGCCTAAGCACTACCATGCACACAGCCAGGCAGAGTGCCGAGGCCAGGCCCCTCAGTCTCACTCACAACCACCCTTAGAGGCAGGTCCTTTCCTTACAGATGAGGAAACAAGCTCAGAGAGGTTACGCCACTGACCCAAGGTCCTCACAGCACAGAGCGGAGGAATCGGAGGAGCTGTAAACACTCAGGGGCATGAGGAAGGGCTGTGGTGAGTGCACTGGTCCTGGCCGAGCCCATGAGGGCCACTGACAAGTCCTCTGTGAGCCCCCAAATGGAGAGGAGTCGGGGGGGGGGGGGGGGGGGGGGGAAGAAGCTAGGTCAGGGAGGAGACGGGAAGGGGAGGGCTTGGAATACCAGGAGTCAGGTACTTCTCCTGCAGGTCCCTGGCCGGGTTCCCCTGAGGTGCTAAAAAGCATCCTCGGGATCAGCCAGCTCTAGGCCTGCTCCTGCTGCCAGCAGGGGGCACTCTCCAGCAGTGCCGCATCCCACCGGCACCACCAGACTACCCGCCTGGCTGAGCAGGTTCTCTCCGCCTGCTGAATTCTTCAGACGCCAACTCAGCTATCACCCCTCCAGGAAGCCTTCCCTGACTACCGCGGCCCCCACTCCTGAATTCACGCATTCCTCCACCACGGTGCGTACACTGCCATGCCGTCACCCACCTGTATATGGGACCTTCCTGAAGGCAGGGACACAGCCACACCCACCTCCGTCTACAGTGGATGCCTCGCACACAGCCATGCTCCATGTCATACGTGAGTGAACACGGAATGAACAAATGAACCAGCAGATTCTGGGACGAGCCAGGCCTGGGAGAGTCTGAGTGGCATGAGCCAGAATCTCCAGGGCTCAGGCAAGCCTGATCCAGCCCCCACTGGGGGGTGGAGGGGGGGCATCCGAGCTGGGTCCTTGCCCTGGGGCTGGCAGACAGCTCTCAGCAGACTGGCCTCACTCAGACACCTGCTTATTCCAGAGCAGATTAGAGGCCCAGGCCTCCGTTTTACTGGGTGATGACACCCCACGGTCCTCTGCCTGGGGATGCGTTTTCAGGTGACCAAAGTAAGACTCACATCCAGGGGGCCCTTCGGGGCAAGAGGGGTGGGGCAGGAGGTGGCATCGGAAGCGCAGTCGAGAATAGGGATGTGGTGTTAGGTATGTTAAACAGAAGCTTCTTTCACCCCGAGTCTGGGCTCTGGACACCGACCGTCAGAATCAATGGACTGGTACAGCATCACGCCCTGCTCCGAGGCGCTATCCACTCCCAGAGGCCGTGTTCTCCCCAGCTGGTGCCCGGGGGTAGCCAGTGTGACTTGGACATCTTGTATCTGGCTGGCTTCCACCCTGCATGACATCCTTTCAAACTTTGGCTGAAGAAATCTGGAATTGTTTCCCACCCCAGCTCTGATCCAAGTGGGGCTTGCTCAGATCTGCATAGATGGTGCTGGGACCTGGAGCCAGGGGTCTAGACGGAGGCCCAGGGCCTGGGCAGTGCCGGTGGGGGCCGGGCCCCCGGTGAAGCCCAGCGGGATCCTTTCCGCCAGCCGTGACGGGGGCAGGGGACAGAGAAAAGGCCCAGGCCGCCCTTCCCAAGACGGCACTGACCTTCCGTCCGAAGTCGAGCTTGGTGAAGGTGAAGGTCCTCAGGTGGACGCTCTTCTCCCGGATCTTGGGCTCCAGTTTCTCCCGGACCTTGTTTTCCATAATTAAGCTCAGGTAGGGCCAGATCTGGGAGATGATCTGTGGGGACAGGAAGAGGCCCTCGGTGGTCAGGTCTGTGTGCCCCACCCCAGACCCTCGGCTGCCTGAATGACGCTTTCAGGCCTTGGAGCTGGCCCTCTCTGGTCTAATCCCAGCCCGCACTAAAAACCTAACTTGAAGTTTCACTTCCAAAATTAAACAAAATTTTATACTTTAAAATTCTATTTTAAATATATGCATATAAGGGCCCCGGGATCCTTACTCTGCACTGCCCATCTGCCTGCCCGCCCATCTGCCCGCCCAGCCGCCGTCTGTCCGCTGCACAGCATGTAACGACAGCACTGGTTCTCACTCTGGTGTAGGCAGCAGGCCCCCACGATCTGGTGCTGTTTGCAGAACACCGTGAGACACACAGGCATGCGCTACACCCAATGATGTGAAGCCCTCTGGTCCTGTGCTAACACATAAATGATCTGAATCCTCACTGTGGGATAAGTGAGTAGCAGCTGGCTAGAAGTTTAAGGGAAAAAAATCACAGAAGAGAATCAAATTGTTTCCTGTGGATTTAGGCTTTTTCTAGCCATCAGAACAGGCTGCCTTCTCCAGCAGATTTCTATGCAGAATGACCCACGGCTGGTCTGGGCACCCCGTGCAGGGCCAGGGAGGGGAAGGCAGCAGAGACGGGCCTGGTGCCCGGAGAGGGTGATCAGAGAGGAGCAGCGGAGGGAGGGCCAGGCAGCTGTAGGCTCTGTGCAAAGGCGTCTTCCTGTTCCTTCTCTCAGGCTGGGGCCTCCGTTTACAGATGCGCCTCCCCAGCCTGGAGGCGGGAGGCTTGCTCCCCCCTCTCTCCGGGGCCTCTCTGGGGGCTGGTCCCATCCTCCCGTCTCACCGCTCTGTCCTTTGCCAAGTGCCTCTGGAGCACTAAGCTCTTTGGGGCGTACTTGGTGCCCTAGTGTGTGGTTTGTCTATGTTACTGTTTCCCATCCGGGAGCCTTACTCCTCTGGTCTGTGTGTGTTGATGCAAGAAGATACCATGCATGCGGGGCCTGTGGACTCACAAGCACACAGAAGCCCACCACCGGGCGGCACAGGACACGGTTTGTCCCAGAGGCCCTGGGCCCACAGAAATTAATTAATTAATTTACAGAAATTAATCCGCAGAAACCTGTTCCCTCCTCCTAAAGCAGCAAACTACTTCCTCCAAATTTTACCCAGAGGCCGAGAACAATATATTTTTATAGATTTCAGAGAGGAAGGGAGAGGCAGAGAGAGAAACATCAGTGATGAGAGAGAACCATTGATCGGCTGCCTCCTGCACACCCCACACTGGGGATCAAGCATGCAACCCGGGCATGTGCCCTGACCGGGAGCCGAACAGTGGCCTCCTGGTTCATAGGTCAACGCTCAACCACTGAGCCCCGCCGGCTGGGCGGAGAACTCGGCAAAGACACGGGGGTAATATGAGAATGGCAGCCTTAGATAAAAAACAATCGGGCCCTACGTGGTTTGGCTCAGTGGACAGAGCGTCAGCCTGCGAACCAAAGGGTTTCTGGTTCGATTCCAGTCAAGGGTATGTACCTAGATTGCAGGCTCCTCCCCGGTCTGGTCGGGGCGTGTGCAGGAGGCAACCAATCAATGTGTTTTTCTCACATTGATGTTTCTTTTTGTCTCTCCCTCTCTCTTCCTCTCTCCCTAAAAATCAAGGGGAAAATATCCTCAGGTGAGGATTAACAAAAAACACAATCAGGAAATCCTTTTTTATATTTAACCCAAGTCATTCCTGTCCAGAACAGAGGCAATGTTTGTGTTAAAGTCTCAAGGGAGACTGCATGCACCTTCACATACAGGGACAGCTTTGGGCAGGTCAGGGAGGAACAGAGTCTGATTTCTCACTGTAAGGGGAGGGAGCCTCAGGGCCCACCCTGGGCACCTGCAGCCGAGCCCACAGGCGCTCCCTGCGACCCTGCAGCAGTCACACCTGTGATGACAGCCATCCCGGCACCCGGCACCCACAATGCGCCAGGCACTGTGGTGCATTAATCGCCTCACTAATCCTCGCACCAAGCGCTCGGGCAGGGACCATAATCACTCCATTGCACAGGGGAGGGAGCCAGCTCCGAGGCCTTAGGCAACCTGCCCGAGCTCACCCGGCCAGTGCTGGCGGATCTGGGCTGGGAACCCGGCCAAAGCCAGAGGCAGCGACGCAATCAGCCCCCTCCTCTCCGGGGAAGCTTCTCTGGGCCGGGCCTCTGGAGGCGGCACTTTTCTGTCTGCTCTGTATTTCCTAACTTTCCCGCTGCACCCATGCATGACTGACACAGGGAAAAGCGTGGTTTTTCAAAGAAAAGCAAGTCGTTGGTGACGAGAAGAACCGGGAGGGAGGAAAGGGCTAAGGGGAGAGACAGGAGAAGGCCACCACCCCTGGGGCAGGCAGGGCCTTGGCCCACATGCTGCCCGCCCCTCCCCTCCGCCCCATTCCTGCAGGTGACTCAGCAGAGGGCAGGGGCGGCCCTGGAGTGAGGTCAGTCCCACGCACGGTGCTTTGCCTTACCTTGTTGGCCCACTCGACCCGCTCCACGTCTGGGAAGTGGATCTAGAAAAAAGAAGGCCCGAGGGGAAGTTAGACTGGAGACCTGCACGCTCCTGGAACCGGACAGGCTGCCTGGGCAGGTCCCCTCCCTCCCGCAGGCGCCTGGCCAGCGACTCAGCCGGCCCTGCCCTCAAGGGGCAGCCTGGCCAGTGGGGCAGCCCGGCCAGTGGGGCAGCCCAGCCAGTGGGGCAGCCCGGCCAGTGGGGCAGCCCGGCCAGTGGGGCAGCCGGCCAGTGGGGCAGCCCGGCCAGTGGGGCAGCCCGGCCAGTGGGGCAGCCCGGCCAGTGGGGCAGACTGCGAGAACCGGGCAGCGCCCACGCACAGCTGACACTGACCGGGCACCAGACACCAGCTCTGCCAGTCCCAGGCTGGGGTGCCCTCCTGGGTGGCTCTGGGGAGACCCCTCCCTCTTCTCCCCTGCCTCCCCTTGGTCCACAGGCTGGAACCCCCTCATTCACTTGTGCAAATAAGGCCCACCCTCCTGGTGAAGCCAGGAGCCCCCACCTGAGCCTCTTCCCACATAACACTGAATTTGCTCCTGGCAAATTCTGTCCCCCTGTTCCTTTTAATGGCCCAATACTCGGTAGAAAAACTAGAAGATGTAGCTAAGCAAAAGGGAAATATTTTATCAGAGAATGCCACCAGTGGTAAGGCCGCAGTCGCCTTAGCAGGTTGATACATTTCCTTTCAGTCTTTTCCAGAAGCAAGTATGCGCAGTTTTCACAGAAATGGAGGTCACAGGGCTTTTTTTCACTTAACCATGTATTGTGATGGTGCAGACTCTAATGGTAACTGCTACCAATTTGAAAAGCCAGAAAGGGCATCCTGTTGCTTATTACACTAGCAAGTGGGGGATGGGCTGCTGAGGGGGACCACCCTCAGCTTCCAGGAGCCCCACCCCTTCCCCAGGAAGGAGGCCCCCCACGGGGGCTGGCGGGGGGGGGGGGGGGGGGGGGGCGGGGTGGCCGTCCCACAGCAGAGCTCTCTCCGGGTCACAGCCCCAGCCAGTGCCTGCTGCTGAGTCCTGCACATCCCGGGAGAGGGCAGGTCCCCAAGATGAAGTGAAAATCCTGTTGGCTAACCTTTACTGACCTGCTGGGAAGCAGGGAGCTTACTACCCTCCCACAGGGGTCTGTCTCCACGTGTATCTGCTGAGCTTCTCACCCCCTCCCCCGGGGTTTCTGGGATGGACAGAGGGCAGAGTGTATGTGACGGCCGGCACAAAACACGGATCGATAACATGGCCACTGCTGCCGCCACGCCCCGAGTCCCAGAGCACGAGGCCGGCTCGGACAGATCCACCAGGGCCCGCGGCCTCCCCAGGTGGAGAACGGGCTCACTGTCCAGGGGCTGAGCAGAGGGGCCCATGCAGCCCTCACACCAGTGCACACCCACCAAGCCCCAGGATGCCCTCAAGGCCCAGACCCTGGCAGACCACCTGCCCAGGGGAGAGCCAGTCCCCGGGAGGCGGAGCACTGGCTTCTCGCGGACACAGCGGACACAGTTCTTAACTTGTGAGGTCAGAGGAGCCCAGTCCTCCTGAGGCTCAGGTGCTGAATATTTCCTGGTTCCCAGAAGGAGAGCCGGCCCAGGCCCCAGAACAGAAGGGGATGACGGGGAGGAAGTGGCAGGAGCTGGGGTCGGGCCCCCAGTCCGGCTGGAGAAGAGCAGCCCGTTCACCACACATTCCCAGCAGCTGCCCCGGGCAGGTCCCACGCTGGGTACCTGGGGAGTGGAGGGGGGGACCTCTCCCTGTCCCTACCACAAGGCCCCGCACTGAAGTAAAAACACCTGCACGAGGGCTCTGCGAGGGCCCCAGCCCATACCCTGGCCTCAGCCCCCAGATCAGCCCTCCCATGTGAACTGCAGTCACCTTGACCTTTTCTGTCCCCAGCCAAGGCCGCACATACCTCTCTGTGGGTCTGCAGCACTTCCCTGTTCTCCTTTAATTACCTCGTTCATCACCATCCAGCCCTCTCAAGTGGGGGATGAGTGTCCTTATTGCGTGGCTGCTGATTCTCCCCCGCAGCATTTAGCACACGTTGGGGCTGCTCGCTCTCCCTGCCTGCCTCCTGACCGGACTGGAAGTTCTAGGGCTGACTCAGCCTGGGTCCCCATTATAATGGGCCTGCCCCTGGCATGCGAATGTCTTCATACATATTTGAGGAATGAATGAATGAATGCAATGTGCTTGCCTTCAAGGGGCTCCCAGGCTAGTGAAGGAAGCAGGCAAGTCAGGGTTCAGAACCGAGGGGCAGGTGGAGGGGGCATCACAGAGGAGAGTTTGTTTACAGCTGGGCTCTCACTGGCACCTTCAGGCTGAACTCCTTACGCTCCTCCCATCCTAACCACTGCACTTCCCACTCATCCTGCCCCAGGCAAACTTACATATATGTATACCCCTTTCTCCCCAAGCAGTTCTGCACCCCTGGGAGCTGAGCAGTTCTCATCCTGGACCCTGGAGAGGTGACCCAGGTTGGCCACACTTGGAAACTAAGTCAAAGATCCTGAGCTGCCCCACAGCTGCTGAATCGGTGCGGCAGGGCGGGGCCTTCCATTTTATTTTTAACAAGCTCCTGGCATGACTCTGGAGTTCAGCAGGGGTGGCTGGGAGGTGCCAGTGGCCAGCCCATCTCTTGCTTTAATGTGACCCACACTCACCCTGACGGTGAGGACGGCCACGGGATGCCCAGGGCCCGCACTGATGACCTGTGCCTGGTGTCTCTGGGCCACCCATGGCTGCATTGGAGGTTTCTTGCTAAGACATTCCTCCAGACAGCGAGCCTGAACCCCCAGACAGAGCAGCAATTCAGACCAAGAAAAGAAGAGACCATCAGGTTCTGCCTCGGGCACTCTGAAGGCCCTCCTCGGCCACTCAGCCCTGCCATCTCTCCCCAGGGAGCCATGCAGCAGCCGGCTGCCTTCTTGGCGTCCCTGACTAGGACTGGACCAGGGAATGAAATGAAGAGACTGACGTTTATGGAGCAGCTCCTAGTACCCAGTACTCAGCCCGACGTAGACAAATTAGTCTATTTTTCCATTATCATTGGTCTTTAGGGGATCTTTCCCTACTCCAAATTCTCAGTTACTCTCTGTTTTTATCTACTGGCTTTATTTTTTAGCTGTTGCACCTACATCTACCTCTACAATCTGGAATTTTTAAATAGTGGGTGAGATAGGCTTATCATTTCATTTCTCTCTACACTCTAAGGCAATTTTCTAACATCACATACTAAAAAAAAAAAAAAAAGTCCACTTTTCTCCTAACTTGTGAGGCTACTTCCCTCATAAGTCGTGTGCATTTTCATGTGTTGCTGAACTTGGTGCTGAACTTAGCATGGTCTGCTCCTGCGCCATTACCTTCTGTTTTAATCTCTCTGGCTTTGCAGTGTCACCTGGGTAGGGTGAAGCCCCTCTTTTTGCTTTTCTTTTTTAGGCTGATTCTGAAAACTGTAGGTATTTATACTTCCATATGAACCTTAGCATCAGTCTCAAAAAAAAAAAAAAAAAAATCCTCCTAAGATTTTGATTGCTCTATTTTTTAATTTATAGATAAATTGTAAGAGAACTGACATCTTTACAATATTAAGTCTGCATCCATGAACAGAATCTTTCCCTTTATTAATTCACATGGCTGTATTCACATAGGATCACAAACTGCGTTCTATGAAAGTCCTGGACATTTTTGTTAGCTGACTTTGCCGGTTTTACGGTTATTAGAAATTTCATTTTCTGGGCTACTTGGTTGAAATCTGTTACTAGCTCTAATCACTCACTGATTCACAGAGGTTATTTACATACATTTATAATCTCCAAAAATAACAACTGTTGTTCTTTGCTCCCTGCCCTTATCTTTATTATTTGTTTCTCTTGGGTGACTAGCAGGGTGGTAGTGAGCATCTCTACCTTGTCCCTGACCTCAAAGGGAACTTTCTAACATACTGCGGGCCGGTAGTTTTATTGCTAGCTTTACCCAGTGGCCAGATAAGTTTCTACTGAACGAGTACAAAAAACGTTTTACATAAATGTTAAAGGCACAATTTAAAATTAAACACCTATTGCATTTTGTTCTTACAAGCTTATAACTTTTTAAAGAATTCTCGTGATTGGCCACAAGCCTTCGAACAGAAAACACGAGAACTCTCGTGACCCGTCCGCAAGATGTTGAGCACGATTTTTGCTGAACATTTTTAGAGGACGGCCTCTGTCAGGAGGAGGAAGTTTCTTCAAATCCTACGCTCCCGAGAGCTTCATTATTTAAGGGTTTGAGCTCCATTCAACATTTTCTCATATCTAGTGAGATACATTATTTTTTCCCTTTTGTTCACTAATGTGGTCAGCTTAACTGACGTTTCTTTCTAAAGCAGAACCATCTCAAGTTCCTGGGTTAACCCCCCTTTTCGTAGTATGTTTAGTCGGCTGATAGTTCACTGAGGTTTGATACACTCAGGATTTGAAATGATACCTACAGCTTCTGTTCTGGTTCAGTTCTTATCTGGTTTTGATATAAAGATTTTACAATAAGTCGGAAAATGAGTGAGATAGCTTTTTCCTTATCTTTCTCTTTTCTGGAACAACTTATAACTATAGAAACTATCTGATCCATGAAGTTTAGGGTGTCTTACCCAGAAAACCTCTTCGCCTGAGGGGTGGTAAGTTACCATTGTTCTCTTTAGTGCTTAGCAATGTATTCAAGGTCTCCTTATCTCTTATCTCGGTAATTGTGGCATTCACATTTTTTTCTAGAAGTGTGTTTCATCTAGGTTTTCAAATGTATTGATATGTAGTTGTTTATATTTTATTATTTTACTAGTAAATCTGTATCGTTATGTCTGTATTTATTCCTTTTTCATTCCATATTGTTTTCCTTTTCATAATCAAACTTTGACAAATATTTTGCCTATTGTATTAATCTTTTCAGAAAACTAACTTTTGTTAATTTTCTGTCCCCTTTTCCTTTATTTTAAATTTTCTATTTTCATCCTTATCTTTTTTATTTCCTT